GAGTTTCCTGCAGCCCCGTCGGCTTTCAACCAGGAACTCACACGTGAAGACATGATCCATGCTGTCAAGGAAGGCCTCAGCGGATACGATTTGCCTACAGCTGGCTCCCTTGTGCCTCATCAAACCAGTAACGATGAGATTGTGTCCAGACTGCAGGATATTCTTGACTATATGCGAGGAGAATTCCAAGCAGCATCAGAGGAGGCAAAGGACACCATGGCGGCTGGCAGCCGTGATACTGAGCAGCTTCTAGGGGCTACAAAGGACGGCCTGGACAAGCTAAGGACCGACATGCAGGAGTATATGACCCATCTCAGTACCACTACCGCCAATCAAGATGAGATCACGGACACCTTGCTAGGCACCCTGGATTCCTTCAGAGATGAAATGGCTGCCTTAGTTGATCGGGTTTCGAGCGACTCAAGGTCAACTATCGAGAACCACATGGAATCCCTTCGAGACACAGTCAACTCTTCTATGGTGCCTGTCACTCCCCAGATCAACCAGAAGGAGATCATCGAAGCAGTAAGAGACGGCGTGGACAGCGTGCGTGCCGAGCTACGCCGCCCATTCGCTGGTGTGACAGAGATCCTGGACGCTCTACATGACGGCTTAGCGGATTTGCGCATCAGCATCGAAAAGGTCGGAAACCGACCGGCAGATTTGACTGCCAACGACGAAATACTGGACGCTTTGAAATCTGGCCTCGACAGTGTTCGATCGGATATCGACAATCTTCGGGAGCATCAGGGCCAAAATGACAAAGCCTTGATGACGATGAACGATGGCGCGATTGTCCCAGCGATCGCAGATGCACTCAAGCAGGACGACATCAAAAATCTTGAGGTTCTGATTACCCAGCTGGGTGTTAAGGTTGAGGCCATAGAGCCAAACAATACTGAGCCAGTCTCCAAAGAGGATCTCTCGCATATGGAGGACCTTCTGCACTCTTTGCAGGAGTCCGCGTCCAAAGATGACATACTTCGTCTCGAGGACATGCTTCGGCTTGTTCAGGAATCCGTGTCCAAGGATGACTCGACCCGAATCGAGGAAGCCCTGCTTAATGCCCCGGGTTCTGTGCCCAAAGAAGATCTGGCACGTCTCGAGGAGGCCATTCTTAGCATCCAAGAATCAATCAACCAGGAATCGGTCAAGACGAAGAGCAGCGATGCACCTAACCCAGCTAGCGCCGAAGCCGCTTCCAAAGAAGACGTGCAAGCCATCGAAACCATCTTGCGCAATACCAAGGGCCGCCTAGACGACCTCATCGACGGCGAACAAGCAGTGCGGAAGGAACATCTCGACAGTCTGGAAAACATCATCCTGGAGACTAGGGAAACAATCAACCTACTTACCACTCAGATGGACGCCCTTTCTCAGAAGGACGACGTTACGCGTGTCGAGTCACTGGTCACGCAAGTCGCTGCGGGCTTTGAGGAGATGAAAGAGAGTGCATCGAAACAGCTGGAAGACCCCGAACGTGTTACCAAGACTGATGTTGACGCTGTTGAGGCGGTTTGTCTTGACATAAAAAATGTTTTTGACCAGATGCTCAAGACGGACCTGGCAGCGCTCGCAACCAAGGAGGACCTGGAAAAGACAGCAACAGCACTGGAGGAGCTTAAAGCACCCGTCGAGAGCCTGAAGGCTCCCCTCAACGAGCTCAAGACCCCTTTGCAGGAACTTAAAGTCCCCTTGGAAGAGCTGAAGACACGACTGGACGGTTTGACCGAGTCTCATGCTAAGGGAAGTGAAGAGCGCCAGGCCGAGATCGTCGGTGTTGGTGAGAGAGTCTCAGAGGTCAAAACATTCCTTGAGGAGTTCCAGACTTTGATGAAAAGCAGGCTTGAGGATGGAGTCACCGGAGTTGAGACTCTTGCCAAGCTCATCGAGGGTGTTTCAACCACAGTTAGCCAGAACGCTTCTATCGGACAGGAGCTGAAGGATCTTTCTGACACAATGAAGATGGAATTCGAGGAGTCCAAGGCAGGCGTAGTTGGTGCCAAGTTAGAATCGGATGAGAAGTTCCAGCAGACGACGGAAGCCCTGAGTACCAAGATCGACGAAAGGGTCGCGGAACTGATGACCAAATACGACGAATTCCAGGCAACTCTCGAAGACCGAACGAAGGCGGGAGAAGCTCACGATGCCGACACGGAGGCGGCTGTTCTGGGAACCAAGGCCGTTGCGGAAGACCTCAAATCGCTTGTTGACACGTTGGGTGCGGCCGTGACCGATTCAATGGAGAAGATGGAAGAGGCATCCAAGACTGTATTTGACAGGGTGGAGAATCTCATGGCCAAATCTGACGAGAACCATACGGACGACAAGGCCGAGCATCAACAAACCCGTGATCACCTGAAGCAGGCCATCGACGCTGTTGAAGGTCTCCAGGGACAAGTTGGCGAAGCACAGCCGCAAATCCTTGAGGCTGTCAAGCACGTCCTCGCCATCGTCGGCCAACACTACGATTATGCCAAAGCTTCGGCCACTGACATTCAGCAACTGATTGAGGAAGCGAAACCACCCGAGCACGCGCTTCTGCCACCACCAGAGAAGTACTACGACGATACCGTAGTGCTCGAAAAGCTCGAAAAGTTGGTCGAGCACACTTTGGTCCCGTCCGAAAAGTACGACGATACGCCACTCCAGGAAAAGCTCGACAAGATCGTTGAACATACTCTTATGCCCATCGACAAGTACGATGACACAGTTGCACAAGAGAAGCTCGACAAGCTTGTGAAACATGTCTTGGCGCCTGTCGACAAGTATGACGACGCAATTGTTCAGGAGAAGCTCGACAAGCTTGTGGAGCACGTCTTGACGCCTGTCGACAAGTATGACGACGCAATTGTTCAGGAGAAGCTTGACAAGCTCGTGGAGCATTCGCTTGTGCCGGTTGAGAAGTATGACGACACAGTCGTCCAGGAGAAACTGGATAAGCTTGTAGAGCATTCACTTCTGCCGGTCGAAAAGTATGATGACGCAGGCGTACATGAGAGACTCGAAAAGCTTGACATTGGACAGACTGAGAAGATCGACATGCTTCACATGGGCGTCAGTGAAAAGCTTGACAAGCTTGACGTAAGTGTCGGGGAAAGGCTTGACAGTTTCGACGTAGGTGTGGGCGAGAAATTTGACAAGCTCGATACCGGCATGAACGACAAGCTCGACGAGCTTAACACCGGCATAAGTGAACAAATCGGGAAGCTCGATTCAAGCATCAATGAAAACATCGACAAGCTGGACCTAGGTATGAGCGAGAAACTCGGGAAGTTTGACATGGGCATGATTGAGAAGCTCGACAAATTTGATGCTAGTATGGGCGAGAGATTCAACAAGCTTGACGCGGGTGTGAACGACAAACTCGACAGGCTCGTCGAGCACTCTCTCGTTCCTATTGAGAAGTATGACGACAGCCCCGTACACGAAAAGCTCGATAAGCTAGTTGAGCATGTATCAATTCCGGTTGAGAAATACGATGACACAGCTGTTCATGAAAAGCTTGACGAACTCGTCGACCATAGTCATGCAGCGGAGAAGGCTTTTGCTCAGCTTGACACACTCGAGAAGGTCCACCAACAAGTCCTTCAGACTGCTGCGGACATCTCACTCTTCCTGGCAAACCAGACTAAGAAAATTGCAGACGAGGACGAGGACAGAGAAAAGACACTGAACGAGGTCAATCTTGCATTGGAGCGCCAGCTAGCCCTCAAGGAGCAGATCCAAGAAAACCTGCTTGACCTCAAGCAGGAAGAGGAGCGACTCAAAGCATCAGTGCTTGGACTCAGGACTGAGCAAGATGGCTTGATACGGCAAAAGACAAGGCTCACCGCTGACGTGTCGTCTCTCGAGACAGCTCTACATTTGCGCCGGGAAGAGCTCCACGACATGGAGACTCGCGCCGAAGGGTTGGAACGCCGGATTTTGGAGGGCGTCATGGATCATTCCCGCATTCTCCTTATGTCAAAGGCAACCAAGGGACGTGACGCTATGAGCCGGAAACGTGTCCAGACCCAGAAGTCGGGCCAAGACTGCGGCGTCAACGAGAAGATTTCATCACCCACAGTCAATTTGGCTCTCTCTGCCAAACGGAGTCTGAAGCCGCCAACCCAGACGGGAACCGCGCGTCGCATCCTGTCGCTCAGCCAGATCACAAACAACGTGCCAACAGGAGGTGTTAAGCGCAGTCAGAGTGTCAGGACTGCTGGCGCTGGCGGTAAGGGTCTTCGGAAATCTAGCTGGGCAGGCGGCTTTGCAAAGGGCTATGGAGAGTTGGACAAGGAAAATATGCTGAAGGAGACAGAGGAGGAGAACCTGCCGAGCCCGGCGCCACGTGAAGATGCCATCGTCGTAACAGAAACCATGTTGGGCAGCGACGATACGAGCGATACTGAAACTTTGCGACGAAGCAGCCGTGGTACGACGGTTGTTACGGAAGGCACGGAAACCTGCAGCGGGGATGGCGATTATTCGCATTTCAACGACAATGTCCGAAGCGACCCACAGAGCGACTGGGTGGAGAGCGGCGTGAGCTCAACGCTGGGCGACGAGACGCCAGCAAATGAGGCCACAGTACTCGCGGAACAATGAGAGCGCAACCTGATTTCGCTACGGTGTTGCTACGGTCTAATTATGGCGACTATGGAACCTGCCGTCATTTCAATTCTTGCATCCTGCAAGGCTTCTGGCACACTTTGTAAGAGATAACAGTCGGCTGCTTGCTTGTCTTGTATTTGTCTTCTGCATCGTGGATGATCCACTCCGCAGGTAAAGTTTGTTATCGTATTACTAGTGAGATGCGGAAATAGCCATCATCTTTTCTCCTTCCCAGTTCGTGACCATCACTTCTTTTTTTCGGTATGTCAGTGTTTGACCTGAATATGACCCCGCCTGTTGAGCCCGACCATGGCTAAGGTAGTGATTGAATGAATCTCTGGTGTGATGGTTATAAGGGGCAATGTAATGCGAGCTAGCCTAGCCAGTCAACGTACGTACGGTCACAACGACGAAACATTCTCTCGCACAATCTTCTCCTTCCCATCCATCCATGGACGTAGGCAAGCCGGAATAACAACAGACATATCCTTCTCATCCCATCCCACCTCCAAGAGTGCCGCCAACACTCTTGGAATAGCGAGGGCGGTCCCGTTGACGGTCCACGGGAACGTGAGTTTACCGTTAATCTTGGCCCTGGTAGCAAGTCGTCGGGTCTGATAGTCGGTGCATATGCTAGCAGAAGTGACTTCGCCCCAACCGCCATTCAACTCTTGGCGAGATGGGAAAAATGCCTCCATGTCGCATTTCCGAACGGCCGAAGCACCGAGGTCGGCAGTGGGCATTTCGAGGACGCGGCAGTGCAAGCCAAGGGAACCGAGAATCTCCGTCTGAATATCGAGCATTTCCTCAAAAACATCACCCGTTTCGTCGGCGTCCGGGCTTGTCCAGGCAAACATCTCAACCTTTGTGAACTCATGAACACGGTAAAGTCCCTTGGTGTTGGCACCGCGAGCACCGGCCTCGGCTCGGTAGCATCGGGAGACGGCAACCCTCTTCATTGGCAACTCCGAAGCGTCCAGCGTTGTGTCTGATTTCATAGCGGCAAGAGGAATTTCCGAAGTGCCGGCAAGACTGAGCTCCGGCTTGCCCCTTTCTACGTCGTCCTGAGATTGTGCGAGGGCATAGATTTGCTGCTCGCCATTCTGGTCTCGCGGTTGAAACCCGCATGCCGAGGCCATGTGACTGTAGACGATACTCGGCGGTGAGACTTGGCGCCAGCCGTGCTTGGTAGCTACAGCCAAAGCGTACTGAACGAGAGCTTGCTCTAGTTGTGCCGCCTCGTCCAGGAGATAATACCACCCCCATCCTGAGGTGGTGCCGCCGGCGGCAAAGTCAAGTAAGCCGAGTTCCGATCCGATGTGGATGTGAGACCTCCAGACTGTGTCAGACGCACTAGAGGGCTCAATAGGATGGTCATTTATGTAGCTTAGCAACAGCGGTTCATCGCCAACAGGAGTAACCTCGCTGGTGAGGTTTGGAATACCCAGAGCGAGGCTTTCCATTTCTTCGACCAGCTTCGCCTCATTCTGCTCGACTACCGACAAACTTTGCTTCAGCAACCGAGCTTCTTCAAGAAGTTGTCCACGAGACATATCCTTCAAGGTGACGAAGTCGGCATCGTCGCGGACGGAGGCGGGATTGGCGATCTGACGACGGAGGAGATTGGACTTTTCTCGCACGGCCCGGCTGTCTTTCTGAAGAGCCTGCCATTGTGTGAATATTTCGTTGATGCGTGCCGGGCTCTTGCTCTGGACAGCGTAGTTCCGGTCGAGACAATTTTTTTCAAAAAGACTTGGATTTTCCCGGATACGCCTAATGTCGATAATCGGCTTGGGCGCAGTAGGTGGCCGCTTTATATCGGCGAATGCGCGAGCAAATGTGCGACTAGTGACGATGCCGTTCGTTTGCGCCGGAGACGATGGTCGAGATGACAGCTTCACGGCCCTGGGCGAGCGATGCGTCAAACTTGGAAAGTTTCTCATGTCGTCTGGTTGAATTTGGCGTGACTAACAGAGAGTTCTCTACTTCAAGTTAAATTATTTGATGCATCATCCGAGGTCGAAGTATAAGGTGATGTTTCTCGAATCGGTTATAATGGTATCTATATTATGCATTCCCGTTTGCCGCTTAATGCAATATACGAAAGGTTCTTTCTATGCTGACGAAAACTAAATACTTTTTTGTTCTCCCATCTCTCTCTTCTTTCGAATGTGCATACTCATTCAAACTCCCATGCTTTTGGGGTATTATTCCTGGGCTACAGTACATGCCTGCATACTTAGAGTCTACATATCGTTAGGTCTGTTATGAAAGGTTTGTTCCGCTGAGACGATTCCGTTCTCCTTTGACAATGCATTTCATCAGTGTTCTGCTCAACTCTGGAGCTCCGTGTCAGACAGCGCCCCACGCCCCCAGCGTCCAGTTTGCTATGCTCCCGCCAGTAGCTCCTCGCATCAAGCCCCCTGGTCCCATGCTTTGCCGCTGTTGAGCCTTGACATCGATTTCGTTAGGCCGCGAAGCACCGTTGACTCCATGTTGTATCCAAAGCTCGCGATCAATGTTTGCCATCGCTGCGACCTTCAGCTGGCATGTCAAACTGGCGCCTCCCCATGGTCCAAGCGACTCTAAAGATCGAAGTTGGCCTTGTTTATTTGGATATGTGTTGTCGCGCTTTCTAAGTGAGTCCTCGATGATGTCTGCGGCATCTCGAGAAGCGTTATGTGCCGAGTCTGATTTAGTTTCTGTCAGTTCCTCTTCCAGCACAACCTCTGTTGGGCCACTGGTAGTCTGCCGGTACGTGGCTCTCCGTAGCCGCGAGTTATTCTTGTAATTTGCCGGTGCCTGGCCTTGGATAGGATCCCATCCGCGCTCTTCAACGAGGTGCAGCAGCTCGTCAAATATTCTGCGTCGTAACCCAATCACTCTGGAACAGCCACCAATGAAAATAATGCGAGACATGCAAACGGCCCGAGCGTCGATAGGCAGCCGCAAGAGATGCTGGTGAATGAGCTGGTGAACTGGTATTTCGTCGTCGTCGAAGCTGCTACGACAGAATTGCGGCGCAAAAAAGGTAGTCTCACACGGATCGGATAGTTGCTGGAATGGCACAGTCAAGGTCACAGATGGACTAATAGACAGAACCGGAATCTCGACGTTTCCCTTCGATTGCTGAGGAACCGTAGGCGATGGTGGTACCGACTCATCCTGCTCCTCGACTGTGGGCAAACCCTGTCCGTGGTGTTGACGTCGCCTTTGCTCTGCCGCCAACACACGGTCGCTATCTGATTGACGACACCAGACCATACGACGTGCCACTTCTTCACACTCCTCAAAGCTCACTGAATGTTGGCCATGTTCTTTTTCTTGGCGTATTCTTTGTGATTGGGCAGGATTTTCTGACAAGGCAGCCTGGATGAGGTTGTGCACTTCATCAACCAGCATCTTGCCTCCGCGTACGGTCCGCGTTGTACGGATCTCGCGATATTCGTACACACTCGTCACTACCGTTTCTGCCCAGCCGAGGTCCACAACCAGCGCAGATCGAGCACCAGCTCCAATGGCAGACGTCACCGCGGTAGACATGAGCGAAACTGTTGGTGCTTGGAAACGGTGGAAGAGAACATCGAGGGCAGCTCCGAGGAGCGGCAGAGGTACCGATGAGGAAAGGACAAGGGCAGTCCTACGAGGTCGCGAATCGATAAGGAGGAACCTGGGTAACACAAGTAAGCAACGAGCCAGAGAAAGCAGCGGGTGGCAGCGGCTTGATACTTGGTCAGGGCTTCTCGAATAGCCCGATCAATCTTGTCTTCGACAAGACCCAGGTCTGTTAATCGCAAATCGTACTGCCAGAGCTGATGATCATTACCCCAGGCCTTGCCTCTCTGGCGTCGTCTCCAGTCATCTTGGTGGTCTGGGTCCCAGGCACGGTAATCCCCAACCCGGCGTTGCTCTTCTGGTCCGAGTGAGATGATCGCCTTGGGTGTTGGCTCACCCGCAAACCCAAGTCTGATGAATCGAGATCCTAGTTCAATTACTATGATATCTTCCTCAGCTCGTAAGCTAGACGGCGAGCCAAATGTAGACGATACCGTGCGGGACGGCGTATGCGGGCTGAGAGGGCCACCAAGACTGGAGCCGCCACCAGTCTCGGTCCGAATGTTCGAAACGGATCGATGGGCAAGACTTGGGCCTGCACTAGACGACATATTGTCAGTTCCGGCAACGTACTCTTAATGATGTCGAACGCCAAAAGATATGCGCAACGGAGCGCTTCGTGCCTTGCAGGTACGACTCCAGGCAGTGGGGCGGGCTTAGGTAAGTTGGCGGAGCTGGCACTTCAGCAACACTATGCCCGCACCCTGGCACCTCAAGGCGCGGGGCCACTGACTGCAAGCCCGGTGGCCCGATGCCTGCACTAGCGCATCCCCGGCCTCGCTAAGTCCCCTCCACCATCGGTGCAGCCAATGTTAACCCAGCGGAGTGGCACTGTAGCCTGAGTAACCAACCTAGTTGCTGTCTATTTTGCAAACACCCACCTACTAGGTGGAAGACGTCAACGACTACGGTATATCCAGCTTTCCAGAGCGCTCTTGGTATAGCCATTTTCAATTTCGGAACACAGAGGAGGCATTGAATTATCATGCTGTGAAACAGCCTGGAACGAGCGCTTCCTCTCCCAGCCTCTGTTGATCTGCAGGCAGCGAATTTCTTAAGACGTACCTTGAGTATCACGATACGTACATGTATTAAAGTCCTCAACGGCATCAGACTGGTCATTCGCACTCCTAATCTTTTTGGGGGCATGATCAGCAGCATTAAACAGTATCTTAGTTCAGGAGCTTGCTGCTTTCATTCAAGTCTCACAATCACCGATCAAAACATTCGACCAGCACATTACCATGGGTATCAAGGGGTGAGAGAACTCATTTGTCATGTTTCTTCTCTATGTGGCTGACATCACTTCCTCAGCATCTACCGTGAGCTTGGCTCAGGTCAGAGAGTCTCCCTGGCTAAGCTGGCAACTGAGCACCTTGAGAGTTCTGGCCGGCCACTGCGCGTCGCTATTGATATTGCTATCTGGCAGTTTCAGACCCAGGCAGCACGAGGTACAGCTGTGTCAAAGTGTTTTTTCTAGGTATCATGCTGACTGCCTACCAGGCGGCACCAACCCTGCGATAAGAACTCTGTTTTATCGCCTAGTACGACTCTTGGGTCTTACGATACATCCCATCTTCGTGTTTGATGGCCCTCACAAGCCTGCCTTCAAACGCAACAAGCGCTCGGGAAAAGGTGGTGGAGTGGCAACGGCGATGGCCAAGAGACTTATCCGACTCTTCGGGTTTCCTGTACACGATGCACCCGGCGAGGCTGAGGCAGAGTGCGCCCTGTTACAACAACAAGGCATTGTCGACGCCGTGCTGAGCGAGGACGTCGACACCATCATGTTTGGATGTACAAGAACACTTCGAAACTGGTCTTCAGAGGGGATCCGCGGTTCCAAGACGCCAACCCACGTCAGCTTATACGATGTCGACGTGCTCCTATCTGCTGGCACCGGCCTGGATCGAGAGGGCATGGTTTTGGTCGCTCTGATGAGTGGTGGTGATTACATCCCAGAAGGTGTTCCGGGCTGTGGTGTCAAGCTGGCTTGTGAGGCTGCCAAGGCAGGGTTTGGCAAGTCTTTGTGTCGACTAAAGATCGATGAGCCTGTGCAATTTGAAGAGTGGAGGACCTTCTTGAAGCACCAGCTTCGGACAAATGAGTGTGGCTTCTTCCGGACGAAACACAAGGCACTGGCCATTCCTGACGAATTCCCAAGCCGACAAGTGCTGCGCCACTACACTCATCCAGTGGTATCGAATGCCGAGACTATCGCTCAGCTGAGGGCGAGAACCCACTGGAACCGCCAAATAGACGTTCAAGGTCTTCGATGTTTCGTTGACGAGACGTTCGAATGGGCCAACAAAGCCGGTGCAGTGAAACTGACCAGAGTTCTCTCCCAGAGCCTGCTGGTGCACAAGCTATTGGATCGGCATCTCACTGAGCGCTGCGACGAGACAACAGACCAGATGGAACGGAACGAGGCGGCCCTCGTCAAACGCATTTCTGGGCGCCGAAATCACCATAGCACCGACGGGATACTTGAGCTAAGGGTCTCGCATGTCCCAGCAGACATTGTCGGGCTGGATATGTCAAAGGAGATGGAAGACGAACCTGTTTCGTTTGATCGACACGGGCTGGCACTGAATAGCGACGACGACTTTCACGGTGGTGCGGATGTCGAAATTGACACCACCAGTGACAAGTCCAAAGCCAGGGCCAATTATGACCCTACTATCGCCGAATCCATCTGGCTGCCGGAATCCCTACTCAAACTCAGCGTTCCCATTACCGTGGAGGATTGGGAAGAGACGCAACGGGCCAAAGAAAAATCTCGTGCCGCAACAAAAGTCAACAAAAATAGGACGGGTAAAGTTGCTGCGAAAGAAGCAGGTGGTCTCGACAAATGGATTCTAGTGACGAAAAGCGCGTCAACAATTACGGCTATGGGGGACGCAGGTAGGATGCTAGAACCAATACCCAAAGACAGCAACAGCAAAACAAACAACAACAGCAGCAACAACAACCATCCGGGACCACCCGCTGCGTTACCTCGAGCTTCTGCCCAAGCTCAAGTGGTGACAGCAGCATCGCTACACTCAAGCTCTGCGAGAAGTTCGACCAGTCGAAGTAAGCAATCCAGTTCCACCGGGAAAGCGACTGCCGCAGAACCGACCGGGCACAATAACCCCTGGGCATACGGTGGCTCACAACATATGCCTAGGATTACCAAGTTTCAGCCCTCAGAGCCACTTCTTCTGTCGTCTAGCCCCTTGCACTCGTCGCTTGCGCCTACTTGTGCGCCGCTGACCGGCTCATCGGCTCCAGATATAGTCGATTTGTGCGGTCCCGACGATACTCTGACGTCTAAGCAACCCAAAACGTCTGCTCGACCCGCAGTCCCCAAAATACAAGTGCCTTGCCAGGTTGAACGGATACGGTCAACGACTTCAGACCTTCCCCCCACTCTGCCCCAAAGCAAGAGATCCATGAAGCAGACCAGGATGGATTCCTTCATCACCAGCTCTCCCGGACGACAGCAGGCGTCGAGGGACATGTTTGCATCGCTCATTGATGATGAAAGGACTAGTCCAGAACTTGGTATGGGTGACAGGGAGACCAATGAGCCTTCGTCGGTTATTTGCAAAACTGCCAGCCCAGATGCATTGTCACAAACCACCCTAGATTCGAAAGTATGGCCTGTCGACGAAAGGCCAGGCGCGCCTCAATCTAAACCGATGCGTCGATACAAGACGGTGCCTCGTAAAAGTGCGGTCGGGTTCTTCAAAGAGGTTGACATAAGTGACGAGGAAACAGAGGACAGGGAATGTGGACTGGCGAAGCGCTCGGCAACGAAGTCATCGAGGCAACGTAGTGTATCTATCATAGATCTCACTGGAGACGACTAACAATACCTCACACTGAGGCATGCTGATCATTTTGCGATACATATGCATATATTATGGAGAAGTCTAGTGGCATGTCTAGGAGGCGCCAAATTTATCTCGTCGCACACAAGGTCGTCGTTGGGTATCCAAGGTTACATCCGTCCATACTAACAAATCATTTCAGTAGTGTCGTATATCATCAGTCAGAGGACCGACTAAGGCCTCTTCGTCTTGTCTGCGAACTGCAGATGGGTATCTTATGTCGACGCTTCGAGCCGCTCTTCCTTTTCCCGTCCTCCTCCTTCCTCTGCCTCAGTACTCAACGTGCCATGGAAGATCATGATCCCCGACGGTGGTACAGATGAGGTAACCAATCCCATCAGCTGTTCTGCCACTGCTAATGTCCAACTCGAGGCCACTTCCCATCAAGGGTCGTACAATATCATGAGCCATCATCTTGAGTTCATCAATCCGCTTCTCAAAACGTCGAAGATTGTCGCGGCTGTACAGCTCAGGCGTCAACTTCAGGAACCGTTTGCACTCGTCATGACCAAGATAGGACGACGATGACGACCCAAGTATTCGATACGTGCGACCAACATTTGCCAGTGGAGGCACCGAATTTGGGAGGGCAAATTGCTGGGGCTCGACCCCACGGCCATCCCGGGAGTCTTTGAACATCGATGGACTGGTATTGTCGGCCAGCCACTGCCGAAACAAACTGACGGCGAGCCAATCTAAGTACGACGTGCTAGGTGTAACGCGCTCACCCCTGGCTGTCAAGAGATTGATTCTGAATAAGCGGCCCTCGATACGGCTGACGATTTCCGCGAGCTCATCCACCTTATCTTCGATGATGTCGAGGACAATATCTGGAAGCGCAGCCCGCAAACTGCGTTCTCCTGCTGGCCATTGCCCAACTACGTGTATCATAGCCTCTTGAAAGATTACCTTGCTACGTGCGAGATAGCCCAAGCGGAGATAGGATATGGGATACTTGGCGATTTGCTTCCAAAGCCTCGACTGGAATTGCAGCAAGTGATGATCAACTCTGGGGCCGACTACGGCCAGCGCATCATACTGATCCGCCAAAGTGAGGAGCGACTTGCATTGCACGTAGGCGTCGGCGATGTTGATCCCGTCCAAAGCCGGGGGATAATTGTAAAAGATGCGAAAGAGGTTATCGTAGTCTCTGAGCAGGTCTTGATCAGCTTGGGACAGCGATTGGACTGATTTCGAACCGGGGATCAAGCTCAGATTGGCCACGGAGCGAAAAAAGGGTTGACCTTGACCGGAGGAGGATTGCGAATGGTCCGAGGTCCTGCTGCGTGTGGCGGGTAAAGGCTGGTGGCGATTCTGAGCGACACCACAGCCGAAGAGAGATTCAGGCCCAGACCCAGCAACGTCGGACCGATCTTCGTCCTTTTGCACCAACATTGGTATATCCCCATCGCCGGTCCCCTGATCCAGCTCGTAGCGCCATCGTTTTCGAACACCGGCTGGCGTAGTCAGGGCTCGATAGGTAGTGGTAGCAGAAGTAGAGTCGGAGCCGTCACTTATGCGACCGGTATCGAGTGAAGCGGCATCCGAAACGGGCTTGGACCACTCAAGACTTGTACTCGCCTCGAAGAAGCCGGAACATCGGGTGAGAGTATGGCGATGCAGTAGATAGCGATTCTGGTGGCCGCCAACTTTGACTATGATCTCGACGTCGCCCGAGTTGCTGAATGTAGGAAATTCATTTTGAGGAATGCTGGTAGAGACGCCGACATGTGACCTGTTGTATCGCTTCGTGCGCGAAAGGGAGGGACGCGAAACGACCGAGGAAGGCCCTCGCAAGGTCAAGGACGTCGAAGAGTCGGGCTGCGAGACCATGAAGACGTCGCGAAACTGGAGCTAGATGTTCGAGCGACGGAAGAGGACCTACGGCGGCCTGAACATGGGGGGAGAGTCGATTGCGAATTTGACCGCCGCTGTCGATGGACAGTCACGGAGGATTGAAGACGGCGTGGCGAAGGGTTGCGCAGGGGGAGGATCCTGTGACAGGCTGTCGTCGTCGTCGTTGTTGTTGTTATTGTTGTTGTTGTTGTTGTTGTTGTTGTTGTTTTGTATGGGACCCAGGAGCCGGGGTGTCTGTCGGCCGCACGACCCTGAAGACTTTGGACCACTTTGAGATATGGTGCAAAGGCGGCACTGATCAGCCACGCGATGACACGCGGGGGGAGCAGTCAAAGAAGTAATCGATCAGAGGGCTAATGACGGAGACAGACGAACAAGTAGAAATATGACAAGTAAGTTGAAGAAGGAGTAGGGGACGGGGCGGGGCGGATGGGATTTGTTGGTGTCGGGCGCGGACGAAAATTGGGAGCCGCGATCATCAGCAGTAGTGACGCAAAAACCTGCCAAACTGACAATGACGGTCGGTGTTTGGAAAGATGAGAAGAAGAGACGATGCAGTAGTACGCTTAAGCAGGTGTGAGGTTGGTTCGGATGGCAGTTGGAAGTTGAGGTAACAAGCAGAGATGAACCCAGAAGAAAAGTCCAATTCTCCCAGCCTCGACAACCCAACATAAGACACAAGCGAGTTCTATATGGGATGACTCGGCAGGGCACACCTGTTTGTAACGAATGGCAAAGACCCCGCGATGAGGAGAGAGGGCCGAGGCGTGGAGGCAAAAGAGAGCGTAGAGTCGACTCACCCACAGGCCAAGCAAAAACACCGGCCATGCATATGGGCCATTAGAGCGCCCGGAACACGGAGCAGCGGGACTGGACGTATATCAACAGCTAACGTGATGTGACCCTAGGTAGCTCAACGTAGCAAGATAGGCACGACGAACACGCATGGATCAGCCGTAACTTGTAAGACACTCCCTGGCCACCCTTCCAACGTCACGAAACCCTTTGCCTTGCTTGGATCAAAGAATGCCTTGGTGAACGGACGCTGCAAGAGCACGAATCGTCAGCAAGAGATTGAATGGCCATCACGCTGCTACTGGTTGGTGATGTATGCATCTCTAGCTTGTCACCTCTGGCTTCAAGGCAACATGCAGGGGCCGTTGACATACCTAGGTAGGTACATTGGCAAGGCGTAATCCGCCCAAGGCACCTTACTTCCAGTACATAGTGTCCCCTCACGCTCTGCCATCCGTTCCATGTTTCGTTGCAACTTTCCGGCGGCTGAGATGGGGCGGTCCTGATTGACTACTTACATAATACACTTTGGATCACGAAATCCGCGCTTCCTACCTATAGTGTACCTATGGATCCCACCCTGCCTGAGAACAGTGAGGCGGATGACCTGGTTGGTGCCGCTCCGACCAACCTTCGGACGAGCCCGGGCTTTATTCGTGCACTGCCCATACTCACCGCCTTCCTTAGCAATGGTGCTTAATCCGAGTCACGGTGTGTTACCCGGGTGTTAAGTCCACATTACTCGCTCCGAGACAATCTTGGGCATATTGCCCATGCCTCCTTACGGTACGACTAACAAGTCCGAACTCAAACTTCACGCCACGAGCGTCGAGGGCACTCCGGCGTTGGTGTCGTGTGTCTCGCGCACGTCAAGCATCTCTCAGCTGGACGGGCATCATCAACGCCATCAGGTCAAAACGCTGCACACGTCAATCGGATTTGTAGTCGAGTTTAGTAGGATAAAAATCAATTGCGACCGGGGTTGGCCACGGATTCATAGCCCGCCGATGAGCAAGGTCAAGTGCAACTAAGACTAAGAAACCAATTAGACTGATACGCCAGAACCAGTCTTTCTACATTGCCAGAATGAAACGCCTGGACTCAGTTCCTTCTCTACTGCATGGAGCAAGAGAGTCTTGACGGGTGCGTGCAAGCGCCCTGCCATCGAACCCAATCCCATCAAGCAAGCCCATACGCAAGAATAATAATGATGCGCCCCCGCCCCCCCTCCCCAAAAGCCTGCCATTTTCGTGTGGTGATCTCAAGTAACAAACAAATGAACCGCGCTGTACTGCACAATGATTGCGCCTTAGCACATCTCCATCTGGATGTCTGCCTCTGCTGCAAGCGTGGTGGAGGGTGATTCGCTAGCTGGGGACTCAGTCGCCGCGAGAGTCTCTGGGCCGTCGAATGCGGGAGGTGAGCACTTCAAGTTTCTTAGTGCACCCTCGGCGTCTGCACTGACAAACCGACCTTGTCGAAGATCCTCGGAAAAGAGAAAAAAGCCCTCAGCTGCTTCCACTAGATATGATTGTAGCCCTTTGCTTTCGAGTCGAATGACAGCCGACGAGACTGGGTAATGGTTCTCAATGTAACGGGCCCATCCACGAGCAGCAGCCTGGATGTGCTGATCTTCGCTGATGCGTCTCCAGCCAACGCCGAGATGCAAGGTAAAGTGGTCGACTATGGGCTGAGAAGCTTGTTGCAAGGGAAGAGATTCTGCTGTTGACGCAGGAACAGGTTGGCTGGCCGCGCCGAAACCATGCACGTTGTTCTGCGTGAGTCGTTGAGATTTATTGCTGCGGAGAGAAGGGCGCTGTTGTTGTTCGTGCAGACGCGTGATGGCTTCCCTGGCCTTACGAGCCTCGTCTTCCGCCGCCTTCTCTTCGACCCAGGTGCCTGACTGACTGCTTGCGTCGGCGACGTAGCTTCCCTTCTTGATGAGTACCATGCCTGGGCCGTACTCCCACTCATCCTCAGCCTCTTTGTGTTCGGCGTGAGGCTCGGGCTCGTCTGTAACAAGGTTGGGGGCGGCCTCATCGCGAGAGCGTTTGCGACCTGCGACCTTGAGGTTTCCGGAGGGTACCGCCGTCGGGTGAGCGCAGCGTTGTAAGGCGACAGACTGATCGAAAGAGGCTGCTGGGGAAGCGTAAGACTCCATGCTGAAGCTGGCTTGATGGGCGGGCTGCGGTGGTAGGGCCATGACTGGCGAGGCAGTTGAGAAGGATCGGCCGAAAGATGACATTGCTACGTGGTTAGACCTGTGGAAGGTAAGTTCAATTGTCTGTTTTAGATAGCTCTTCTACGCATCAAGACAGGTTAGTAGTTGCAAGATGACACCCCAGAAATGGGTTGCAGCTGGCGGCGATAGCGGATGGGCGAGAATGATACGGTGCTGTGGTGCAGGGCCACAAGGTACTTGGCGGATGGTCGAAGGAGTCCGAGGCGAGAGAAGGCCGAGATAAGGCAGGACTGTTCGAGATCGGAGCGATAAATGGCAGCTCGCAATGGTAGGTTGGTGGTAAGAGGTGGTTTGAAAAGACGGCAGCAACCTGAAGGTGATAGTGTAAGGCAGAATAGAATGGCCGATTGGTGATGGGCTCGATGACGGTAGCAGCTAAAGCAGGGTTGACCAAGCTAGCATATGGGGTACATCAGTGAGAAGAGAGGGAAGAACTTAGGTTGCAAGAGCGAGGCTGTCAGAAAGAGACGATGGGAGACGAGACGAGACTCAACACCAGATGGGTGGATGAACTTGCAGTGGCTGGGAAAGGGGTGAAAAGTAGAGGTTGAGGTAGGGTGGAGGGTGCAGGGAGGTAGGTGTAGACAGAGCTATCCTTTTGTATTTTGCAGTATTATGGCCAGGCCAATTGACAGACGGAAAGAAAACGCGAGGACAGGACAAGACGAACAGAGACTGAACAGGGCCGGCGAAAAAAAAAGGTTGGAGTGCGGTAGACAAGGGAACGTCGCCTTGGGAGTCTTTACACCCCAGCTCCCCGTCGCGAGTCGCATTGTCGCAGCTCTCGCGCTGGCGCTGGCGCAGCCGCTGCGGAGAGACATGGAGGAGAGAGTCCTCGCTCTTGTGAGAAGGCGAGCCACTGCGGAGTAGGGCAGGTACGTATCGTTTGCCACGACTTGAGACGCAGGGATCGTAGTTGCGGATCGCTGCCAGTTGCAGCAGAAACCATCTCCGGGACCCCGTGTGGACTTGTCCCTGCTGGACGACTACCTTGTGTGTCACTAGGACTCTTAGCATTTTGCGGTAGTGAGACCATCATCCGATGTTCTCTCTCTTTCTATATGCTAGCGCCTGTCAGCGTCGTAACGTGCGATATCTGGGCTGTCCTAGACGGAGGTAGATGGCCGCCGCGAATGAGCTTCCACCTTGCAGTCCACTGTACGTGTACGTACCGCGCATGTACCTCAGTACGGCTTCTTGCTGTGGCTCCTTATGTTGCGCTCGGGTCCATGTTGATTTCTACTTTTGGGCCTTTGCCAAATCGGGCAGGCTGGTGACCGCAGTTGCTACAGCTGCAGCCGTCGTGTCGTGCCTTGTCCAGTACGGATACTGGCCGGCCATTTGCTGGCCGGTGACCTGGATAACTGGGGAATTAACTGCATTACGCCCAAACACTCGCATACAAAATCCACACCAGCAGAGCAAACAACCCGGTCGCGAATAGCTAGGCAGATCATACGAGCAAATCGGCATACTGGTACGTATCTGTTACGGTGCGGACGATGAAGAAGCGGGCTTGCTGACTTTAGGGCGGATAACGTCTGGATAACAGTTATGCAATCCCCTACCGCGTTACTCGTACATGAATGCATATCTTATGTATACATAGGTCCTCGGTACTGTCTAGGCACACAACCTGCACGCGATAACCTCCCAAAGCCTACGCAGTGTACTGACTCTTCTCCTCTCACCTTGTTGCCTCAGGCACCAGTTGCCAGAAGCACTCTCTCAATGCTTACAGATGTCACGTGATCCTAGTCACTGGACGGGCGTCCGGAAAGCGGGAGACTCCCCGTGCCGTCAGAGTCACCTGGTTGTCGCTCAGGCTAACAATCCGTTTCCGTCGCCGCACATCCACACTACTAATGGCTCTTGAGCCAGACCTGTTGGAAAATCAAAGTACCGGAATCCCCCTTCCAAAAATGTACACTCTCTTCTAGCAAATCGACGTATTCACTCTCGTCAACTACTCTTATATTAATGAGCCTGATAGACTGAGTTGGCAGTCCTCTTCTGTCAGGGTCACCGCGTGGGACTCCCCATTCGTCACCTTCTCGCCACCGACAATATGATGCTTCCAAACCGTAGTCGAACAAGATATGGGCATGTGCAATCACCCGCCAAGTCAGAGACAGGCCAGTACGTCTGTTGATTCATCCTCTGCGTTGTCCTGCCCAGTGCCGGCGCGTTGCGGCATCATACGGTGCCAGTTCCCCAGGGTTCTCCATACCGCCGTAAAGCCTAACAAGTCCTGGAATGCCCGTGTCGAATGGACTGGCCGCCCTCGCACGACGTCGATGGCGACCCAGCGCGGTAGTCGCTGGCCCCTGGAACAAGTATCTTCCGCTTGGTCTCGTATATGATTCATGCAGCCGACTCTGCTGCCGGGCTTCCGGAAGGTGACGAGCCTGGGACTGGATCATCGCAGTGACCGAATCGTTATATACAATGAGCCTAGGGCTTCCACGAACGTCTCTATGCCCCCCAAAGCCCATGCGCATTGTGACTGGAGATGAATGTGAAGCGTAGACACGACTTGGCTCCCCAGGGCCGACCCCGCGTAAGGCCGCAGGTTGCGGTTGCTGCTGATAGTGTCAGCCTTACTTAGAAGTCGAGCATTACAATGGTGATCAGACACTCATGGATTGTACAAGAGATGACGAAGCTTGACCCATTGAAGGAAATGGCACAGACGGTCGAGGCATCGTGTTCAACGAGTTCGATGGCCCGTCGCAAGCGCTTGCCATGTTGGAATGCCAACCACTGCGAGGGCTGCTCTCGACGCCCTCAGCCCTTGACAGAGGATCAAAGCCTTGGCCGTTTGCGCCGTCTATATCGTCGCTAGCGTCTTCTACTAGAATTTCTGGCGAAGCTGTTCCAGTCGGAATCGATGAACATAACAATCTAGGTAAGTCCATGCAGTTAGAGTACGGGGTTGGATATTGAGGTTGCCGTAGTGGCACAGAAAGGGCTCCGAGATCATGTCTAGCTAGAGGATGAAGCTGCTGCTGGGCTTTCGATCGCCGGTGCAGATCGTTCACCTCGCATAGCGTCAGGCGGATGACAGTTGGTTCGAGGCGCAACATTTCGGCGTAGGTGATGACGAAATGGTGTGCTTGTTTTGTACACATTTGAGCGGTCAACCTTGGAAAGCAAGTGTTGCACATGAGTGCGGTGTCCTGGGCGACAAGGCTCATGCTGCTCGTGAAGAAAGCACGAGGCTCTCTGTTGCGGGGAGATCGCACGTATTCACTGCGCCTTCCCTTACGCTCTGCTGTTCGATTTCTTCCAGGTTAGCTTCGCCCACGTTGGATGACGCAAGAAACCAAATCCCCTTCTCTTATTCTTTGCTGGTTGTCATCTTACAAACTAGAAGTTTGTCATGTTGGTGGCATCTTGACCTGGCCCTCAATGGCTGGGGTTGAAATGAAGTACTGTATCCGTATGCTGGGCGAAGTGCTCATAGATTCTTCCACATTGCCCTGCCTGCTTTGCCTAGGTTGCTTGTCCTGGGCTTGCACCAGTGCATTCATTTGGGGGGCTTCTTCTCCCAGCAATCCAGGTCACTTCCGACGGGACCTGGGTAGTTTTCCGACAGGCACCAAGCGCGGGTCGTCTAAGGTGAGGTGCCTGTAGGTACCTTAGGTACCTACCTACCTTACCCAACCTACCTTAAGGCAATGGAAGGTCAGGTGCCCATGGGAGGTGCCTACCTAAGGTAGGTTACCTTGTCTTGCGAACCACTTAAACATACCTCAGGCATAGTACCTACCTGCCTACCTTCCTGGCGGCGTTGCTACCACCTACCCACCAGCAGAATACCTACATACCTAATTGTCTGACACGACCGACCGACCGACAGACCGCAGAACAGGCCCGAATTAGATGTGGTCGATTGCCCTCCCGACCAACGACCAACGACCGCTTCTCTCCTATCCCGTTTAATCGTGCCGCGCCGCGTACCTTCCAAACCTGACTTCATCTCGGCCATTGCACGAGGCAATCGGCGGAGCCATTCGTTACTCCTGCTTTCTCCTTCATCCTTTCTCTAGCCTCCGCCCATCCTCTCCTTTCCCATTCCTGACACCCTCCCTTCCCGCCATCTGCCCACAGACACACACACGAACCATGAATGGGGACCTCAGTCTGTCGAGGGCCCTCGGAGGATTACGAATAGCCAATCCAGACGATTCGTCTCCGAACAACTTGTCAGATGGAGGCGCCCTGTCGCCAACCGATGACCAACCCGATGCTCATTTAGCACCCTCCACTGCCCGGCATGGCACGCAACAACAACCCATCGCCTCGCATGCTTCGATCCCGATCTCAGATAGTCTTCTGTCCCCCGTATCCCACATCCAGTCTCCCGAACAACTCGGCGCTGCCCCGGATGCTATGCCCGCACACGCCGAATCGCACCGAACGAGCCCTAGCGCTGCCATGCGAGCTGAAGTCTACCGTCAACCTGTATCGTCATACCCAGACCCCGAGAGAGCCACAGGCAGCTCGGCATCCCCAACTGGCCGTCCAATGTCTGGCATGTACGCGCATCCTCCCACCGCGTCTGAGGATGGACGCTTGTTGCAGCACCAAACTGCGTCACAGAACGAACGATCACGATCTTCCGTGTATGGCCTTCTAGCAAGACAGGATTCTGGTAACGGCCCTGGCTACCCATCATCAATACCTACAAGAGAGCCAAGCCACAGGTCTACAAACCCTCGCCAATCTCAACTGCCTCCTGGTTCTGGACCACTGCCGCCGAGGAGGAGCTCCAAAGGCATGGGGGGTGGATACGTCTCAGCGACTACAGCTTCTCAGCCTCCACGAGATCCGTATGGCCCCGAAATGCCACTCCCTACCAGCAGCGAGGAATGGAAAGACCGTGGTGCTGCCATTGGCGTCAGGAAAGAGACGGACGCGAATGGGAAGACAGTCATTCGACACGTCAAAAAAGGAGTTAGGGACTTCAGTTTTGGTCGAGTGCTCGGCGAAGGCTCGTACAGTACGGTCTATTTAGCCACTGATCGACAGACGCTCAAAGAGTATGCCATCAAAGTTCTGGAAAAGAAGCATATCATCAAGGAAAAGAAGATCAAGTATGTCAACATCGAGAAGAACACCCTGAACCGCCTCACGGAACACCCAGGCATTGTGCGCCTTTACTACACATTTCAAGACGAAGCATCACTGTACTATGTCCTCGATCTCTGCAACGGTGGCGAGCTCCTCGGTGTTCTCAAAAAGACGGGCACATTCGATGTGGAGTGCACACGTTTTTACGGTGCGCAGATATTGGATGCAATTGACTACATGCACTCAAGAGGGGTTATTCACCGAGACTTGAAGCCCGAAAACGTTCTCTTGGATGACCACATGCATGTCAAGATCACCGATTTTGGGACAGCCAAACTGCTAAAGGATCCCAGAGAGTCACAGATCGCAGGTGAGGGAGCAAGGGGTCTTCCTGAAAGCAGCCGTGGCGACATCGAGGATGATGGCCGGGCAGCATCGTTCGTAGGAACCGCCGAGTATGTGAGCCCTGAACTTTTGACGAGCAAAAATGCTTGCAAGGCGAGCGATCTCTGGGCTTTCGGATGCATAGTATACCAGCTGCTGGCCGGCAGGCCACCGTTCAAGGCGGGCACGGAATACCTCACATTCCAGAAGATTGTTAATCTAGAGTACGATTTCCCCAGTGGATTTCCCCCAGCAGCACGGGACTTGGTGGAAAGGTGCTTGGTGCTTGACCCAGCCCGGCGTCTTACAGTGGAGCATATCAAGAACCACGAATTCTTTGATGGGCAACAGTTCGGCAAGGGACTGTGGAGAACCAAAGCTCCGCGACTGCGACCTTATAACCCCGCGCCACAGGAACCGAATTTGATTCAGCTTAATGGTGCGGCCGGCAGTCCGAATCCTGTTGCCCCTCCTAGAACATCACAGGCGCCGGCTCAAAGCTCTACTGCGAATGGTGGTTCTCGTCCAGCCAGGATTATAACCGAGCTACCTCCCCCAACTCAGCTGGATATCGAATGGTCGCCTGTCTTGACACGGAACAATGAGAGAATTCTCAAGTTGGGCGACTTGATGGTCGTGTCAAGCCCACTGCCCAATGGGGGTCATGGCAAAGGAGGTGAGCATGAAGGGCATAAGAAGCTGTCGAGGTTTTTCGGCGGCAGCACAACGAAGAAGAGACAAAGATTGGTCATGGTCACATCAAGTGGTCGAATACTGCTGGCTCCGGCTGGCGGGGACGAAAAGCGTGCAAAGCAGGAGATATCGCTCTTGTCGCCCGAAAGCTCATGGAGAACCCAACTTGACGTCAAAGGGCAAACAGTTTGGTGCGTCGATGCGGTAAGTATTCTGGGCAAAAAGTATCGCCGCTCATCTAAATTTCGACAGGGCGGCGTCCATTACACATTTGAGGAGCCGAAGGGCAGCTCCAGCTCCCCCGACAATGGTTCTACAGCCGAGGACTGGATCGAGTCATTGGAAAGAGCCAGGGAGTTGGCGGTTTCTCAAAACCTTGTTGGTAGCTATGCTGGTGACAATGGTTTTGCAGACATGTCGTCAGCAGTATCGAGTCCGGCAAGTACACTGGGTGGACGAGGAGCATACCCCGATAGCTTCAGCGTCAGCGACCGGTCCGGCCGAAACCATCTGAGCAAAAGTCAAGCGAGCTTGGAAGACTCTTCTTCGACCAAACGAAACCGATTCAGCAAGCGGCAATCTAAAAATGGGCTAGGGGCACAATTTTGATGCCTGAGGGTATGATGAGGGCCTTCACAGGAGGGAGATGTGGTGCCCTTAACGAGGTGCATGCAGAGGAGGCCCAAGACTTCTTAATGATGAGAGTGGGATTGGAAGTAAGCATTCTGTAGCGTGGCGTCCCGTCGGCTATGCACTCTTGGACGACTTGGCCAATTATATAAGGGTTTTTGCGGTTTCCTTCACGGGCGGAAGCATTCATGAACAAGAGAGGTTGTCTTCTCATAGGGAGTTTAGGAGGTTTTCATAGGAATCATCGAGCAAGGCCAAATCAAGCCCTGAGGGACAGCGAGTCCATATGATGTATTTTTCGATCCTGATCACGTTTTCATGGCATTATAGTCAATTTAGAAGATCAATGTGTCTATGAAACGCTTTTGGATCTTTGACATACATTGTGGAAGAGAGTGGGATATCATCTCACATGTCCTGTGATGCTAAGGTCATTGGAGGTTCTGTCGGTAGTCTGCTCCCATTTCTGCGAATCAAATGCGCCGAACCCTTAGGGTGGATCTGCCCCATGGCCCATTTTAATGGACCAATCAACATAGGTGGCACTTTCATCCTGCGCCTGTGCCGCTCAGCCATTTGCCTTTGCACACGCGCCCTGAAGCAACAAACGACGCGACCTCTTGCCCAGCTTGGTACATCGCCACGGTCATCATTTCTGAATCCAATAACTCGGGTTTATTGTTGGGGTTTCCCACCGTGTTTTTGAACTCCCAGCGCGCGTCGAAAATCTTCACTGTCGAAATGCAGCCTCAATACCGTCAGTATGCTGCCCATGCTGGCGCACCGCAAGTTCCCCAGCGGGCTCCACATACCGCCCCAAATCAACGGAGAGGCGGCATCGGTACGCCCGTCCCTTCCTTTAGTTCTTTCTGTCGAGAAAGACTTCCACCTGCCTTACGTCCTGAATCGTGCCCTTTTTGTTCCCCCGTTTTGCAACAAGCTCCAGTTGGCTGACACGCATTCTCAAGGGCCGATCATGCCTCCAGGACATCACCAACAAGCAGCCATCAACCAGGCGACTATAGCGCAACACCATGCCCCGGGTCAGGCCCTTACGAGCGAGCTAGCAAAACGTCGCAGTCGAAAGCCTACCGATAAAACGTTGCCAGACGGCGTAGAGGACTGTATCACAGATTCTGAGGTCGCCCAGAGATACAAAGAATTGCGCGACTTCGAGCGCCGCCTCGATGCGACTATGACTCGCAAACGCCTTGACATCGTCGAGGCTGTTGGTCGCAACGCAAAGGTCAGTCGTCTTGCACGATGATTTCTTCGATGCCTATACCCGCGATTTTACTGCCCACTTCCGTTGCTAAATTTGGCGATCCCTAGCGGTATAAAACCCTGCGAGTCTGGATTAGCAACACCGTCGAAGACCAGGCATGGCAAGGCAGCGGACTTAGCGTCGACAGCTTCGACTTCACACCAAGTGCTGAGCCTTCCTATCGCGTCAAGATTGAAGCTCGTTTGCTTGACGATGACCAGGACGAATCTGTTGAGGATGTTGCCCAGAACGAAGATCAAATGGACGAGGATGACGCCCCCAGCTCAAGACGTCAAAGCTCAGCCCCGGCGCCGCAGAAGTGTCGATTTTCGCGCTTCTTTAAGGCTCTCAACGTTGAGTTTGACCGAAGCCGCTCACGAGCGGCATCCGATCAGACTGTTGAATGGAAGAGGCAGTCTGCACAGAATGCTACGAACGTCTCAGACTTCGACGAGTTTACCTTCAAAAGGAGTGGGGACGAGAACATGAACATCACTGTCAACTTGCATCGCCTGGAGGACCCAGAACGATACCTTCTAAGCCCCGAGCTGGCTGAAGTTGTGGATATGATCGAGGCGTCCAGACAAGAGGCTGTTCTAGCCGTGTGGGAGTATATCAAGATGATGGGCTTGCAAGAAGACGAGGAGAAACGTAACTTTCGCTGCGATGACCTCCTAAGAAAGGTAGCGCAGCTGATTCCTCTACTGACTTGTCTCTCCGCTGACTTATTCGCCCAGATTATCAATGGCAATGACGTGGGCATGATTCCAAACTTGAACGACTACATCCAGCCTCACCTACGACCTCTTCCCCCAATTAGTCTACCGTACACGGTTCGAGTGGATGAGACGTTCCATCAGGATCCTCAGCCCACGGTTTATGACGTACGGGTGGCTATGGAGGAACCCCTTCGATCCAAGCTGGTGCCTTTTGTGGCTAACCCAGCCTATGCCAGTGCTCTGAAGAATGTGGCTACTTTGGATGAGCAGTTGGCGACACTGGTCTCGGCGATTGCCAGTTCGAAGGCGAAACACTCGTTCTTCACATCCATGAGCCAAGATCCAGCAAACTTTGTGAGAAACTGGATCAGCTCCCAGAAACGAGATTTGGAGGTAATCATGGGGGAGGCGACAAGAGGAGGCGGAGAAGATGCAACCGGCGACGACTGGCGGCGGGGCGGAAAGGAAAGTGTATGGGCCTCCTCGAACGCGCGAGAGAGTGTTAGTGTGATGCTGGCGAAGCAGCCGACTCAGGCCTCTCGCTGATGCTGCCGAACATTGCGCCGCGCGGGTACCCACCAGTTCAAGGTGACGAGTGGTTTTCTGTTTTGCTTTTCCTTTTCTAGTAGGCATGGATCGGGGGAAAGAGGCGTCTTAAGGGTCAGGCTCTCATTAATGTGCTATCAGCTGGATCCTGAAGCTCCTCGATCCCGACACATCGTTGTTGGGGGCCGATTATTGACGCTGACGCCCACAGAGGGTTTTCTGTTCGTGAAGTAAAGCTGATTGGCTCTGTTCATGTGCCTCGGCAGTCTGTGATGGCTGATGGCGGCGATAATGGTGCTAAACTCCGTAGGCTTCCCCGCAAACGGGATGGGGACGGTGACGGTGTGCGATTCCATCTACCTGTTCTGTGTTTCCAGAAACTTACCTACTCCGTGTGTATGCCGGCGTCTTTAATTTGTGAGCGTACCCAAGACGCAAAGCAGAAAGCTGGCCGAAAGATTGTTTTATGATGGCGTCCGTCTTTGCCTCTTCGAATACCGCAGTTATTACGGGTGGCGCCTCAGGCATTGGCCTGGCAATTGCCCAAAGATGTCTCGACCGACAAATGACAGTGATCATAGTTGACCGTGATGTAAGGCTTCTCGACGAGGCTAAATCCACACTGAGGGGCTCAGTGAAACTATTCGAGATGGACGTCAGCATCTTGCAGGACTGGGAGAGGTTGAAGATTGAAGTCAGCAGCATCCTTGGTGGTCAGTTCTTTTCTTCTCACTCCCCGCTCACCCTTTCGAGACACGCCACTGCGCCATAATGCCACTGGAGCTGACCTCTTTAAAGGCCGAATCGACTTGTTAGTTCTCAACGCTGGTGTTGGCGGCAAATCAAGCTGGCAGGATCTAGACAGTTTCCATCGCATCATCGACACAAACCTGTACGGTATCATTAACGGCATCAACACCCTTTTGCCTTTGGTGGGCAATGGACAATCTTCCCAGTCGGCCGTGGTCATTACAGGCTCAAAGCAAGGCATCACGAATCCACCAGGTAATCCGGCCTATAATGCCAGCAAGGCGGCTGTCAAGTCCGTCGCCGAACATTTGTCATTTGATCTCAGAAACACCGCTACGACAGCGCACCTCCTCGTGCCAGGTTGGACTTTCACTGGCCTCGCCGGTGCTGGCTCCGACAGAGAAAAGCCAGCCGCCGCCTGGAGTCCTGAGCAAGTAGCTGAGTATTTGGAACAGAAAATGGAGTTGGGCTTATTTTATATTATTTGCCCGGACAACGAGGTGACGGAAGACCTGGATCGTAAGAGGATGCTTTGGGGCGTTGGGGACATCGTCCATGGCCGGCCTCCGTTGAGCAGGTGGCGTGAGGAATATAAGGAAAAGGCACAACAGTGGATCATCAAGGATACGTAGATCGAGGTCGCCGTGGAAAGGACGATCGGCATGGAGACTTTCCAATCCATCCGTAGTCACAATATCGGCATGCCGAAATTGAGGATCAGCTTGCTGGACAACGCGATCCTTGAGGAACTGTCCTACCATGAACGCCAGACGCGAATGCACATTCAATCGATGTCGCTATGAAAGCTCGAGCTTCTGAGACCTCCGGTTCAATTATATCCGAAACCCCTTTCAGCGACATGTTCAAATTGGGATTGTCACTTCCCGCATAGTTTTTTTTCCTTTTCCTCTGATTCGAACCGGTCAAGTGCCGCCAGACATGCCATGCCTCTGAGGCGGCACTGGGCTTGGCGGCATATTCCTGATCTGCTTGATGAGGAACTCCCTTTCATCAATGAACTGTTCATCGTCGGTCCGGTCTTCCAGAAAGTGGGACAAGAATGTGAGTAGCTTTTCCCTATTCATGAGTAGTATCTTCTGGACCGCAATTGACTTATGAGGGTTGGCAACGAAGACCTTGAAGACGTGGAAGCCCTCATACTGGACCATCTTGCGGTCGTCTCTCAATAGGTTCATGCAAATCTTCAGATGCTCCCCGCGATCAACATAGGCGGTCATAACGCTATAGTTTGAGCGGTCCAGCAAGATCTCGCCGAGTAATTTGATGGACTGTCGCTTGGTGACATAACTGTTGGATTGTACAAGTATGTTATTGTACTTGTCGAAGAAGAGGTCGAAGTTGACCGACAAGTACCTCGGGACAAGCTCCTTGTGTTTCGTGAGAAGTTCCTAAATATAGGGCAGAAGGTCAGAAATCGTACCCGCAGCTCAAGGTTTGCTGTAGCAAGGGGGTCGTGCCGCCTTACTCTAAACGTGGTGAAGGCATCCGCAGCGACTTCGAAAGAGCTCTTGTCGATCCAGTCAAAAAACCTCCAAAAGACGCCGTCGCCGCTTTGACGGCGATCTCGGTCAATCAAATTGATACCTTTATTACTAGATCCAGATTCTTCATTGTCATCGTACAAGATTATGGCGGCGGCGGCTTCTGATTTGAGGACTTCTCGGAGAACGGAACCGGCAGGCGTTGCGCTCTCCTTGTGCTCGTACCCTCGACAAAGTTCCAGCAAAACTTGCGGACGGTTGTTGACAACGTAGGACAGAGCGAGAGGGTCGCTCTTGGGCGAGGCGGTGGGTGGGCGGAAACGGAAGACGTAGGAGAAGATAACCTGGGTATCTTTGCGGGATTCGAACGGTAAGCGCCAGAGATTTACGGCAAGTAAGTAGAGAAGATCCTCCTCAATCAAGCCAGTAACGAGTTGATATATCTGTTCGGGGCTGCTATCAGCCTCTGATTCGACATTAGTTGCCATGGTCCAAGGTAGACGAGGTATGGAGACCAACCTTGAGTACCTTGCAAAACGAACTTCATCTGGTTCAGGACTCTGGCAAGCTCTTCGGCCTGACGAGACGATAGGTCAGCACTTTGATGGTCCAGAGGGGATGCGCGGCAACTATAATGAGGGCTTACCTTTACAGAGCCATTTGGTCCTTCCAGCTTCGTCACATGGTCCCTGGCTTGCTTGGGCAGGTCCACGGCCGGCCTCGTTCTGGCCCTGCCAAATAGAAAGGACATGGCGGACGAGGATGGAGAGAACCGAGTATATTTTGCGGGATTCGCAGTTTTTATGGGTGGTTTTGAGGTATTTTGTCGGGTCTGAGTCGAGTGTGCGGACTGGGCTGGATTGTTAGGTATGCTTCAGTGTCGTTGACGAAGATTGCAGGAGAGATGTGCTGAATACCTCGGAAGAGGGCTGTTGTATGTTGATTGTAGGAAATTCCCCTGCAACGGGATAAACGACACGGTTGCACGGGGGCGAGGGAATTGTGAACCGTCGAGGAGAGTATCGCGGGGAGGGGATTGGCGAAAATGAGCGTGGCGGCAGGTCGACGTTGGGTTGTTTATGTTGATGATCAGGCCCTGCCAGCCGGAGAAGGCGTTGCTTGGTGACCTGGTATCGAAGGCGCCTATCCGTTTATCTGGGCACCTACCGTGCTCGTGCTTGCTAGCAGTGTGCGGCATCAACTGCACTACCTTAGGCACCTAGGCTGCTAGCTGAGGCACATGGCACCTAGGTAGGTACCTCCCTACCACGTAAGGCACCTTGTGCAGGCTTAGGTAAGACACCCAGCGACGGTATCTACCTGGGCACCTAGGTACCTTGTTCTTCTCGGGAAGGAGGGGAAGGTCCTATTTGGAAAACTGGCTGCCCCGCGCTCGACTTAAATCAATTGGAAAAAATTACCCCACTGACTCACATCGCCCACCAAAAAAGACCCCTCCAAGTCAGCGTGCATTAAGAGCCACAACCTCTCCTCGACAAGTCGTTGGTCTTGACTCACCCGCAAAGACTCATTCGAGCCTCTGCCGCTGCCTTGCCTGCTTACAACCACAACGGTTTGTACAAGATACGGGCTTGGGCTTCGTTTCTCTTTCTTGTGACAAACCATCGAATCGGACCCTCGCTGGCCATCCTTGGCGCGCAACTCTCGCGTTTGCAACCCTCACAACCACGCTGCGCACTTGTTGCGTTCGACGCCGCACCGCTTCGATTCCGCCAACATGTCTATCGACTTTCCCAAGGAAGAGGTCGAGATCATCAAGAAATGGCGCGAGATCAAGGCATTTGAGCGCCAGGTAAGCCTTGTTTTGTTCATCTCTGAGCGTTGTCTCGCTTTCCAGAAAACTATAAGCGCCGCACTATTCCCTTCACCTACTAACATCTCATTTCTGCTTCATAGCTCGAATTGACCCAGGGAAAACCTCTCTACACATTCTACGATGGCCCCCCCTTTGCCACTGGTCTGCCTCACTACGGTCACCTGTTGGCCTCCACCATCAAAGACATCATCCCGAGATACTGGTCAATGAAGGGCTTCCATGTCGAGAGACGCTTCGGCTGGGATACCCACGGCCTGCCCATTGAGCACGAAATTGATAAGAAGCTGGGAATCTCCGGAAAGGCCGCTGTCATGAAGCTTGGTCTGAAAAATTACAATGCTGAATGCAGATCCATCGTCATGCGTTACAGTCAGGAATGGCGGCACACCATCGAGAGACTCGGACGCTGGATTGATTTCGACAACGACTATAAGACCATGGACCCCACCTTCATGGAGTCGGAGTGGTGGGTGTTCAAGCAATTGTTCGATAAGGGAGCTGTCTACCAAGGTCATCGTGTCATGCCCTACTCTACCGCTCTCACCACAGCTCTGAGCAACTTCGAGGCCAACCAGAACTATCAGGATGTCACTGATCCTGCCGTTGTTGTCTCCTTTCCTCTCCGCGATGACCCTGAGACTCATCTCCTGGCATGGACAACCACACCTTGGACACTGCCGTCGCATCTCGGTCTTGCTGCCCACCCTGAATTTGAGTACATCAAAATCCAGGACGAGAAATCCGGCAAGAAATACATCATTCTCGAGAAGCTCTTAAACACTTTGTATAAGGATCCCAAGAAAGCCAAGTACAAGGTTCTCGAGAAGATCAGAGGCAAGGAAATGCTTGGCTGGCAGTATGAGCCCCCTTTCAACTACTTCTACGAAGAGTACAAGGACGTCGCCTTCAGGGTCTTGAACGCCGAATACGTTACTGACGACAGCGGTACTGGTATCGTTCACCAGGCCCCGGCTTTTGGCGAGGACGATTACAACGTTGCCCTCGCTGCTGGCATCATCACTGAAAACAGACCGCCGCCAGACCCTATTGACGACAAGGGTCACTTCGGCCCGCGCATTTCTGATTTTGCAGGAATGCATGTCAAGGAGGCCGATAAACACATCATCAAGTATTTAAAGGGTACTGGAAGACTAGTCGTCGATTCTTCTCTCAAGCACTCGTATCCCATGTGCTACCGTTCCGACACCCCTCTCATCTACCGAGCTGTACCTTCATGGTTTGTTCGCATCCCAGAAATTATTCCACAGATGCTTGAAAACATCAAAGGATCCCACTGGGTCCCCTCTTTTGTGAAGGAACGCCGGTTCGCCAGCTGGATTGAAAACGCCCGCGACTGGAACGTGTCGAGAAACCGGTACTGGGGCACTCCCATTCCCTTGTGGGTAAGCGACGACATGGAGGAGCGCGTCTGTATTGGCAGCGTGCAAGAATTGAAGGAGCTGAGTGGCTACGATGGGGACCTGTCGGATCTCCATCGTGACAACATTGACCACATCACCATCCCCAGTAAAATGGGCAAGGGACAGCTGAGGCGCGTAGAGGAAGTCTTCGATTGTTGGTTCGAATCAGGCAGCATGCCTTACGCCAGCCAACACTATCCCTTCGAGAATGTCGACAAGTTCAACGCATCCTTCCCTGGTGATTTCATTGCGGAAGGCCTGGATCAGACAAGAGGCTGGTTCTATACTCTCCTGGTTCTCGGCACACATCTTTTTGGAAAGATCCCCTTCCAAAACTGCGTTGTCAACGGCATCGTTCTCGCTGAGGATGGCAAGAAGATGTCGAAGCGTCTCAAGAACTACCCAGCACCAGACCTGGTCATGGACAAGTACGGATCGGATGCTCTTCGCCTTTATCTGATCAACTCGCCAGTCGTCCGTGCCGAACCCTTGCGCTTCAAGGAGTCCGGGGTCAAGGAGATTGTGCAGAAAGTGTTGTTGCCGCTCTGGAACAGCTACAAATTTTTCGAGGGGCAAGTGTCCTTGCTCAAGAAGGTCGAGGGCGTTGACTATGTCTGGAGTCCAGAGACGCAGTCAAGCAATGACAATGTGATGGACCGATGGATCTTGGCCAGTTGTCAGAGTCTGCTCCAATTTGTTAACGACGAGATGAAGGGTATGTTCAATCCATATATCCGAAGCTGTTAAACTTGACTGACACTTTGACTTAACATGTAGCGTACCGTTTGTATACCGTTGTCCCTCGACTTCTTGGCCTCATTGACAACACGACCAACTGGTACATCAAGCTCAACAGAAGACGTCTCAAGGGTGAGAATGGAGTGGAAGACACCAAGCATGCCCTCAACACCCTATTTGAAGTACTTTTCACGCTTTGCCGAGGTCTTGCCCCTTTCACACCCTTTATCACCGATACCATCTACCAAAAGCTCAGGCCGTACATTCCCGGAGAGGCGGACGCAGAGGACCCGCGTAGCATTCACTTTCTGCCCTTCCCGGATGTGCGTCAGGAACTTTTCGACGAGGAGGTCGAGCGCAGAGTGGGCAGAATGCAGAGAGTCATTGATTTGGTCCGCGTCTCTCGTGAGAGGAGGGCCATTGGTCTGAAAACGCCCCTGAAGACACTTGTTGTTATTCACCGCGATCCTCAATACCTGAAGGACTTGGAGTCTCTCTCATCCTACATTAGGGAAGAGATGAACGTGAGAGATCTGGTTCTTTCTTCAGACGAGGCCAAATACAACGTTCAATACAGCGTGACGGCGGACTGGCCTGTTCTAGGCAAGAAGCTCAAGAAGGATATGGCGCGGGTGAAGAAGGCGCTGCCGACTCTCAGCAGCGATGCTGTCAAAGAGTACTCGGAGAAGAAGGAGATCCTGGTCGACGGAATTCGTCTGGAGGACGGCGATCTTGTAGTGAGGCGTGGTCTGAGGGAGGGTGAGGCTTCCAAGAACCTGGAGACGAACTCAGACAACGATGTACTCACGATCCTGGACGCCGAGCTCTACGTGGATCTCGCGCACGAGGGAATCGCTCGAGAGATCATCAATCGCGTTCAGCGCCTCCGGAAGAAGGCCCAACTGCAGCCAACCGATGATATCAAGATGGAGTACAAGATTATCAGCGACCCCGATAAGATTGGACTCGAGGTGGTATTCCAGACGCAAGGTAAGGCTATTGAGAAGGCGCTGCGCAGACCCATGGACAAGCATGAAGTCACGCAGGTGGAGGGTGAGACCTCTGGCGTTGGGCGGAAAGGAGTTATTGCGGAGGAGGAGCAGGAGGTGCAGCATGCGACCTTCCTGCTCCGCTTGCTTGAGTTGTGAAGTTGCGGTGGCTGAAGGCGTGGAGATATCCGTGGGGTAAAAAGCGCTGGGCGGAAGACACATGTGCAGGCAAACAAGCGCCTTGGCCTTATAAGACCAGAATAGAAAGGTGCAACGTCAAATTGAGACTTTTACAGAATATTACATTCGTAAGGGTAGTGTCGATGACTATCTAGCCGTACGAGCCGCAGCCTGCAACTCGGCATGTGTTAGTGATGTGATTTGAGCCGCCGTAACTAGCTGTGGGTTGGTAGCGATGTACAATATAACAGTCTTTCAATCTGAGGAATTCCTTGACACACTTGTCCTTATGCACGGAATTGTAGTCGGCGACAATGCATTTGCCGTACAGCGTGGTCTGCTCACGTCAGCATCAAGGCTTTATTTAGGGATGAGGTAAGTAGAGATGTGGGTTGTCGAACCGACCTCGACAGAGCATTGCGATACGGCAGAAGCAAACTTCTGGATGGGCCGCGGACGAGTCATAGTGATAGTGCCTTGGCGCGACGTGGATTCGCAGAAGGAATGTTCAATTTCCAGGCGCAGGTGCGGTGTGCAAAATGGAGGAAAGAAAAGGCTGCGAAAAGCTTTGGAAGAGGAACTTCACTAATAGTCAACCTCAACAACTGATTACGAGCATAGGTACCTTGGGCAGTCTTTGATTAGCTAAGGCAGCGAGGGAAGCCAACAAAATGGCCAATTAGGTTTGCAGCCCGGTCGATGCTACACCATCTACCTTACCTTGTACCTACACTATGGTCTACATGTACCTTACCTACTTGAGGTAAGTGGAGTGCTAGGTTCCCAGGCACCTACACTCCGACAGGGCCCCACAGCACGGACCCAGACCTAGGTGCCTACGTAGGTTAGGTGGTATTGTGAACCATGGAACCGTTGGTGTCTAAGGCACACCATAAGACTGCGGTTGCTGGGTGTGGTCCTCGAAATAAACACACAAGAAGCGGAGGAAAGACGGGGTTGGGCAGTTCAACCTCTTTCCTGATCTTCTTTTCCCTCTGTCCTCCCAGAGTCCCTCCTAGACGTTGTTCACTTTAGGACAGCGCGTCGCTTATAGTGTCCAGGGATACCTTGCGTTTTGTCCGAGCTTCGCTAGTGCCGCCTTTACCGCCGACGCGCGCGATAGACAAAGCTGTCAGTCAGGCTTTACCATTGTACCTGGCCATTGTATTTGCAACTTTTCGCGACGCGCTGCGTTCGCCGCTGTACATTATCCTTCTTCGCCCACGGAAGTCGGTCGAGCTCTTTCGACACTCCTCATTTCTTCCTCCGTGGATATCGCTGCGGCCAAATGTATTCGGCGTTCATTGCACGCGATCCTTCGCCTTTTGCCCATGAAATTTGACGATAACCCCGGTTTTCGACAGCCCGCAACGATTGCGATCGCGACCGAAATCGTACCCATCAACACCAAGCACACCCGCACGATCACAAGCAACAACTCCTCCTGTTCTCCTACCGCTGCCGCTACTGTCGCCACTCCTGTCATCTTATTATGCTACCGGAACGGCATCAACTCACATGCCGTCATTGCCGCATCGCCCAGCGCTGGCTCCCCGTGACGGCATATCCAGCTTTGCGTCAATTCAAAGTTCCGACTCTTACTACAGTAACGAAGGTGAGGAAATCCGGGACTTCCTTCCACATTTCACAGCCTCTATAGACGAAATGAGAGCCATCGAATGGCTTTGCGACTGACGCAAAATCAGAAATTGCCATCCTCCACGATGTCGTCACGGCTGCCCAGGATAATCTCGATCTCCTCCCCGAGGGTGAGAGGTTGGCGACGAACGCTCTGTTTCAGGCATACGACGCCGTTCTCCCAAAATATGGTATCGACCCCGAGGAGGACCACCACATCTCGCGCTTGGTCTTCCGAGTCGGCGGCGAGCGCGGCGACGGTTCACTTTTGGATAAACTTCGCAATGTTTTGGCGAGGATGAGTATTGAGCTGGAGTTCGACAGTCGCAGCGAAGGTTCGAGACCGCTTTCAGACCCAGGCGATGAACGAGACCATGAATTCCCGTTGCAACCGTCACCTCCTCACTCCAATAGCGAACATAACTTTGCTACCACGGACGATAGCTCTTCGGAGCATATACAGCCACCACAGCAGGGGCGCTTCAGGCCGATCACTGCCCCAGACGAGGCAATCCGTAATGGCGACTGTGCAAACCTCCAAAGGCTGATGCCCATACTTCCAAGGCCAAATCACCTGGCTCCTGATCTCTCCGAACGCTTAAAGCACTCATCCCAAAGTCACTCGCCATCCACAGCTGCGGGTACGGAGCCGAGTCACCAGAGCCCACGGTCAGTGACTGGCTCCAATGAGCACCGTGGAGCTAGCGACACCACTATTCAACCCGTTGAGACTGTTGCCCACGATGCGGGAAAGAACGTCAGCATCGCTGCTTCCCGTCCTGTCCGACCCAAGTCTGTTAGGACAGTCAACTGGCTTCTGCCAGAGGACGTTGGAGCCAGGCCTATTGTTGATGGGCACGAAACTTTACGGGCGGAGCAAAACATCCATTACGAGCCATTTCAAGCGCAAAGCGAACAGCGTCCACTAAGAAAAGACCAGCCACAATTCTCTCCTGGCCAAACCATGTCTCATGGCCAGTACCATCAACACGAGCAGCCCCAGCAATACTTGCCCCAGCAGGGCAATCTACACCAGCAACAATATGCAGCCCAGAACGACATACATAACCTCCAACATCAACAGTACCAACATTACACTCTACCCCAGCAATCCAATGCGCCTCAAAACCCGCAGCAGCAGCAGCAACAACAACAACAACAACAACAACAACAACAACAACAACAACAACAACAAGAGCAGCAGCAGCAACCGCACCGGCGACAGCTGGTGTACGTTGACGAAACCCCCAGAAATGAGGTCAGCGGTCGTCAGCCAGATCTTTCGACAGTCGTCCAGCACGAGACCAGCAAGCGGCCCAGCATTGACACAAAGGCTCTTGGGCAGGAGTCGTCTAATATCGAACGACATAAAATACTGCAACAGCAGCAGCAGGAAGTAGCGCCAGTTCCACAAAAGGAACCTTCTGGTGACAACGTCCTATTTACTAGGCAAGCCACACCTCCCGACGAGGGGTTGGAAGATGACCTAGCGATGGAAGCACGATACGCCTGGCTGGGAAAACGAGCGACTCGAGCGGCTCGTTACCTGCAGATTCTCAGAGGAATATCACATTGGGAGACCTACGCAACCGAGAAGCGTGAAAGAACCGCCGTAGCCAGACGGCATATTTTGCGCATGCGCCACTTTGACCCCTGGGAGTTGGTGACAGCAGACGCCAAGCTCAAGGGGCGTCGTATCTTTACTTCCCGCTTGCTGACTCTTTGGGTGAGGTGGGCTGACGACGGTGTTGTCATGGAGCAGCGGGCTGTAACAATATCTGCACGCCGCATAGCTGGAAGAGTTCTGGCCACCTGGTCTGGTTCATGTTCAACGGTCACGAGGTTGTCGGTTCGGCCCCAGTTACAGGCTCTCTGTCTCCAGCAATGGAGATTGTCCTGCTCAGCCTTGCGCATGATTTATGCACACACAGAAGAACACAGGACCAGGATTCGGTGGTCTCTTGCCTTCAATTCCTGGCACCAACAGATGCGATGTCACCAAGACGGCGTAGCAACTCATCGGCGCCTCAGTGTCGTCCGGAACTCCTTAGACCATTGGCAACTAGAGACAAGGGTCGAGATCTTTCGTGCAAAGATGGGGTTCAATCTGGTACGCGATACCATATGCAGATGGCACAACGCATGTCGACCACCGCCACACCGAGTTGCACCTGGGTATAGCGGCCACAGAAGGAATAACAAGGACCAAACCGATCCTAAGCTGCCACAGACACCCTATGGCATGCGTTCCCCTCTGGCCATTTCTCATAGATTGCTCAAGACAAAGGTTTTAGACATCTGGCACTGGCAAGCATTGGACATGGCTCGGTTTAGTAAGAAATCGCGAACCTCTGCTAAACATCAAGCGGCACGACACGTGGTCGATACCTGGCAAGCCGGCATTGTGCATAGCTCAAATCTCTGTACATGGACCCAGCGTGGTTATTTTTTCGCCAGCGTCAACGCAGTGGTGAAAACCTGGCGCTCTAAGGGGGCCTGGAGATCTCAAACGCGAAGGTCTTACGCACGATGCAGGCAACATGTTAAGGCCACCTCAACGAAGGAAAATCTAAGTCGCTGGAAGTCATTGGCTCGAGTGTATCGCAACCTTGGCTGGGAAGCGACTAAGCACCACAACATGGAAAAGCGGGATCGTGTTGTTGGTTTCTTGGACGTTTGGTACAAGGACAGCAGCCGCGATCGGGGTGCTTCCAGGCTCCTTACAGCCGCATGGCTCGGCGAGTGGCATATCATTTCGCAAGACCTTGCAAGCGTGCACGGTCGCTCGAAGGAAGTCTGGCAGGAGACCTTAAAAATGCGATACTGGGGTCAGTGGCAGTCTACAGTACTTCAACTAAAGAGCAGGGAATATGTTGCCACAGATGTCAGAGAAAGGAATAAGAAGCAGCTCGTTCGTCGTCTTCTTCACCATTGGAAAGGAGATGGAGACATGACCAGGTCACAACATTTCAGCGCGATGAGAGCAAGCCTTGGGAGCTCACGGAAGGGCACTGGGCTCGGCATGAGTCGCCAGTCTTTCCAGCTATCAAGGGCAGTACACGAGCGGCCGGGGACAGGGCTGTTCAGAGCCTCAAAACGCCAAGAAATGGGCCCTACGGTTGAAGAGGAGGAGGATCAAGATGTGGGAGGTTCAGGAGCGGACGCGGATGGAGTGGTTGTGAGCACACCAACACGTTGGACAGGGATGGCATCCTCGGTGCAGTTACCATCCATGACACCATTTGCTCCTTTGCCAACGCCGTTCGAACGTGAGCTTCGAGAGCGGTACAACAGGAGTGTGCCACCAGCCCAGGCTGGTCAGTTGAGCAGGCTCTCTTTCGCACAGGCCCAGAGGCTTTCCACAGCCGACATGAGTATGCGACGGGTAAATGGCGGCCGGCCTGGGGCGCTGGGTCAAGTAGATTAAAGAGGCTTGAAACTCAGGCTACATAATGTGGCTTCTGGTGGATATTGGCGTCGTGTGTTGTCTTGGAAAAATGTTTATTAGTATACCCGACTGATTTGAGTAAAGACGTACGATCTGGGCCAACGTGCATTGTACCACCTGGGACGTGCAAATATCGACATTGCTTGTCACGGAAGGCCGCCAAAAAAGAGTAATGATAGAAGGGGAAAAAGGAGACAAGTTGACACGCATATTTTCCGACTCTGGAAAATCCGCGACAAAAGCACTTGCCCCTCGTTGACAGGCATTGGCCAACCGTGGCTCAGATGGCCATTCTGCAAGCTGGCGTCATTCTCCAACGTTATCTTATCGCTGTAAGCTTCCCCGAGACCCGTCACCAGATATAGCTACGTACCTTGCCTCTCCCTGCCTTGCCTTCTCTCACTTTGCCTTACCTTGGTGCCGACCTATTCGAGGTCGTACCCCTCTAAAGATCGCTATCTCATTTGTTCCCGACAGGGCTCCTAAAAAACTGTCCTGTCCTTCTTTGCATGAACCTTACGCGTCTCAGAACCCATTCAAAACGCGCCGTATCCAGTGTCTTTCATCTACGACCTCTGCCATCGCCCGCCCCAACATTTCTCTGCGCCTTGCCGACCAAGTTTCCGTCGGCGACGGGCAACGACCGCGATCTGCTTACCCGAGCAATGCTGCTGCGAGTCTCGGGCTAGTAGGATGAGAGCAGTCCTCCCAGGCAGGCCCAAATCTGGGCTCTACGCGCTTGCGACGGGCTTCTGGGACTCGAGGCACTTCAACGTGAGCCATTGGCGCCCTCGCTTACTCTTATTTCGCTGATATGCGTCCCTGTAGGTCTATATCACGGGCAGCGCGTTCACCATCCTGTGCGATCCAGGCACCATTGTCCAAACCGTCTACGACGAAGACCCAGCTCATCTGCAAGCCGTTGCATTTGACGAGTGGTCTGGAAAGATCGCAACTTGCACCAACTCCGTCATCAGAGTGTACAAGCCATTTGGACAGTCAGAGGACGCTTTAAAGGTAGTTCTCCGATCCAGCCCTGGACTAGCTTGCTCTGGCCCTGCAGACTATGCTCTGTAGTTTGAAGCGGCCCATCGCTAATCCTATGTGTCTGCGATAGTGGGGACTCCAGTCTTCGTTCCTTATACCCGACCTTCGAGATGCTATCGACAATACCATTTTGAGCTGGGGCACATCCGAAGAGCTCCTCGTAGCTCATTCTGTCCTTTGCATGTATTCGACGGCCGACGAGCCAAACAGCATATGGACGAAAACCCTTCCGAGCCCCTCCAAGCTTGCAGAAATATCCTACGATTCGGCGTACATCGCATCGGTTGGCTTTCACGACCGCCTCGTCAAGGTGTGGCGCCGTCTTACGTACGGCGCTGAAGATGTGCGCTTCGACTTGGCCTACCTGCGACACCCAGATATTGTGACAAGTATCCGATGGCGAAAACCTTATCATATCGAACAAACTGTCCAAAACGTGCTTTATACTGCATGTGTCGACAACAAGATTCGCATTTGGACGGGGTCCGACCCCCATGCCCCCCAGCAACTGAATCTGTGGGGGACCATTGATCTGGCTTCGGCATTCCGGGAGCAGAGTCTCAGGACCGTGAGCCCCCCTTCAGCATTTCTGGCCTTCATCATCGACGGCAGGGACGTATCCGCTGCTACGGAGCTAGCTGTACAACGCCGCCCGATTCAGAACGGAGAACAAGATAACGCTCTTGAGCACCTGATTTCCCTTGCAAACAAGAGCCCTGAACTATGTGTCGCCTTCAACGGTGCTGGGGAAACGGCTGTCTTTGTGTTAGAAGACGTAGGGTCTAAATCCAGCAAGTCCACGGCCGCGAACTTGTCTCGATTCAAGCCGCAAGACCTCGAATTTATGTGCAGCCAGCACGTTGTGGTGCAAAGCTATTGTGACCGGCGGACTGGGCGACTACATATCTTGTTTCACGACTTTGAGGGCCAAATACATCTTTACGAATCTGACTTGGTGGACTTACTCAGCCCGGCCGCCGACCAAAATTGCCTTTCTCGGCAATGTATGTGGTCTGGACACTCGGCTCCTATCAAGAAGATGGTCCGAAATTTTAGCGGGCGAGCAGTGGTTTCCAGGACAGCGGAAGGCGAAAGCATCGTCTGGACTCATAATGGCAACACCAAATCAGGATTATCGCGGCAGAGTGTCATTCCAGGTAGTGGACATATTCACCGTATATGTGTTCTCCGGAAAGGCCGCTTTGTCATTTTTCTGGAGCATAACACCATATATCTCTGGGATTGCCGATTGCCAAAGGCTATGTTGTTGGAACGTCAGTCCTATGAGATTGCTGGCAAGCCTCTGTGTTTGGTGATACTGCCTAGGCAGCCGCACGAGGAGTACGCAGTAGCCCATATTGCAACTGTCACCTCGGAACAGCAGGGTCTCGTTTGGAAGGTCAATCTCCCGCAGTATTCACGCCGAGGGTCCGAAACTTGTGTCAACGGGCGCGATGAAGGTTCGATACAGGAGTACTGCAGGTTTCAACTTGACAATATCGAAGGTCTTGCCTACGTTTTGCCTGTTGACCCGGCAGGCTCTGCACCTGTTACATCCGGCTTTCTTGACGTCTTTGCTAAGGATATTGCTATTTCGTACACGCATTCTGGGCGGGTTGATTTCTGGACAGCCCGTGTCGACTATACAGGGGACAGGGTTGGATGGCTTTCAACGTGTTCAGCCGAAACGGGACTTTCGGAGCCAGCATTGGTGAGCGGCAGTACACTCAAGAAAGCGGCACTTGTCGATTCAACCAGGTCCCAGCTATCCATTTGGGACATCGGGGCTGCTCGACTTGAATTCACACAAAACTACGGAACTAACAACATAATTCAGGACCTTGACTGGACATCCACTCCAGACTCACAGTCAATACTGGCGGTGGGCTTCCAGTCCAAGGTTGTTCTATTATGTCAGATGCGTTTTGACTATCTCAATAAAGGACCGGCGTGGGCTGCTGTGCGAGAGATCAGCATTCGAGAGCTCACTCCCCATCCCATAGGCGATTCGACCTGGCTTGGTGATGGGCATCTTGTTATCGGTTCTGGCAACCAGATGTTTGTTCACGGAAGAGAGTATGATCTTTCTGGCTCGTTGGTAAAGAGCTTACAGCTTCCCCATAGAAAGAATGGCGTGTGGGATTTGTTTGAAGCTGTTCAACGATTTAATGGTCCACTGCCAATCTTCCACCCACAGTTTCTGAGTCAGAGCATTCTTGCAGGGAAGAGTACAGCGGTGCGAAAAGTGCTCATGTCTTTGCACAAAACACTCAAGTTTCACGTCGCGGATGAACCCATCGACGACTACCTTGGACTCGATCCATCTGAGTTTTACCAGGACGAGGTACCAACCTTCCTTTAACCAAGAGGCATCTCATTGAGCGCTGACTGAAGAAAATGGCAGGCATCAGCAATGCATGCGTCCGGGTCGCAAATTAGTTCTCACTTTGATTACCAGGCAGCTGCGGATGAAGAGGACGAAAATTTCAATGAAGACGTTGCTTATGCAATCAACGAGCGGTTGACCAAGGTCGATATTGAACAACTCTCTGGGCATGAGCAGATCCAATTGGCAGACATTGTCGAGTGTGCCGGGCTCGTTGAGAAACAACGTAGATCTTTAGATGAAAATGGCGCTCGTTTTATGCTCTTCTTCCGCCAACATGCCCTACGAAAGGGGCGGACGAGCGAAATCCAGATGTCCTGGAGAGAGATCAACTGGGCCTACCATTCCACGAGCCAGGACATTCTTGTTGACTTTGTCACGAAACAGTGTCACAGCGGCATTCGCTGGGAAGACGCGAAAGAAAGCGGCATGTTCATGTGGCTCGGTGACCGCAATGCGTTGGTAAGAACACTAATCAGGTGATAAGTGACCACCCCCGAAGCTGATTGGGTTACAGCGAGCGCAGTTTGAAAATGTTGCTCGAAACGAATACACCAAAAGTGACGCGAAAAACCCGGTCGATTGCAGTCTGTATTACTTGGCTCTAAAGAAGAAAACGGTGCTCCAGGGTCTGTGGCGCATGGCATACGGAAATCGTGAACAGGCTACGACTCAGCGCTTCCTCGCGAATAATTTTGATGATCCAGTGTGGCGAACAAAAGCCCTTAAGAACGCTTATGCTCTGCTCAGCAAGCGTCGGTTCGGTGAGTACTTGCTTGTGCACATTTGTAGCCGCTCACGACTTGCTGACGTTTGGCCCAACAGAGTACGCGGCCGCATTTTTCCTCCTGGCGGATCATCTGCAGGACGCCGTAAATGTTTGTCTTAATCAGTTGCGGGATCTCCAGCGCGCAGTTGCCATTGCAAGGGTTTACGAAGGAGATCAGGGACCTGTTTTAAGAAAGCTATTGGAAGAAGAGGTGCTTGCTCTGGCGGCCAGGGAAGGCAATCGTTGGCTCGCCTCTTGGACTTTCTGGATGTTAAATCGCAAAGACATGGCTGTAAGGGCCTTGATTGTGAGTTATTGCTTCCTCCCAACAGCTAGCCCCGGCGTGTCTGATCGATTACTAACCACGTCTGGATCCATGGCACAGTCACCCGTTTATACCTTGATCGAAACACCATGTACCCCTGACATGCAATCGAAGTTGTTCCTCACAGACGACCCGGCTCTAGTGGTTTTGTATGCCCAGCTGCGACAAAAGACGCTGCAGACGCTTCGCGGGGCCTCCAAGGTCACTCCTCGCGTAGAATGGGAGTTTGTGCTACATAGTGCGAAGCTTTACGACCGAATGGGCTGCGACCTACTCGGTCTAGATCTCGGTATGGTTGAATGCAACATTGACATGCGGATACGAGAAACTAACAAAATGGCAGTCCGTAATTGGGAGTTCTTGAAATCCGCCATAAGCACAACGAACGGGTTGGGCGGCGAAATCAATCCGCTGAAGCTATTGCGTCGCCGTAGTTCATTGGTCGTTGCAGATCTCCCAATGTCGACTCTTCATGTGGAGATGAGATCTGGCGTGAGCAGGAGCAAGGATTCAGCGCCGACAGTCTTCCAAGAGCCGGACTCAAGCTCACTGCTTGATAGCTTTGGTTTCTAATTGTCGGCGTACGAACATGGGCCACGTAGTATAAAGGGGGGATCCGCCGGACTCCATGAACCAGGAGGGTGAGGCATTCACATAGCGGAAATCGAGTTGTGGATTCATCGTTTAGCATCTGCAACGCGTGCAATATTAGAAACAGAACGCATGCCGCGTCAGGCTGTCGTTAAAGCAGCCTTGACCAACTCCGATCACTTACTTGGTACAATCATGAAGATTACTAAGCCACACAGTAAGAGCCTGCACGTCACTTTACCGAGTTCCGGGCCGGACTAGCGTGGTGGGCCGGCATAATCTTAATGTAAGGATGGGCCTTCAGCGACTTGCTTCAATTCTGACCAGGCACGGACAAACTTGGGGGTTTGGATCAAAAGATAAGCGATCCATTGCGGATACGAATCCGGATTGCCCATGCCGTTTCGAGGATCTCTCCTGCACGGGCAAGGGCTGCGACCGTACTTTATCTTACTTGATTGACTTCACCATAGAACAGTACGAATTCATTTCTGCCCGCTTTGGACTTCATTACCCCTTCCTCTGGCTCTTCTGTAGTCGCCGTTTGCAAGCAACCTGCCACCACCTCATGCATGATTTCGCCGCTGAGGGAGCGCTTCAGACGTCGGGTTGGTTAGCAAATTGACATCGCCATCATCATACCCTTCAGCCACGTCGACGACACCCTCGTACTGAGCCACTTACGTGGTTTTCATCGGTTCCCATCAGTTCTCCGCACCATAGGCTGTCTCTCTATCGACCAAGGAAACGTGACGGCTACCATGGCTCCAAATCGGGGTTACCACGATGGCCAGCTTGCTGTTGACGCGACACCCGCTGGCGGCAATAGCGGCGGAGACTCTTTCAGGCAAAGTCCGGCCATACAGGGCCGCAGTTTCACGATCCGCGGCGTTGTGGTCGGTTTGCTCGTGGGCCTGGTCATCTGCTTCTCAAATATGTACTTTGGATTGCAGACGGGCTGGGTGAGCACCATGACCATGCCCGCCAGCCTGATGGGGTTTGGCATTTTCAAGGCGCTCGCGCGTCACTTGAAGTTTCCATTTAGCCCTGTCGAGAACGTCCTTGTTCAGACTGTTGCGGGGAGTATGGCCATTATGCCTCTCGGATGTGGCTTCGTCGGTGTTGTATGTCTTCCCGTCATCATAAGCAAAGGAAAGCTTTCGCCATCTTGCAATAGGTCAAGTCATCTATTGCAATGGTTTAACACAAGTAGACACGGCTGAACATGAATGCAGATCCCCGCCATGAACTACCTTCTCACGACCGATGAGCAAGGGCCACTCCATATCAGCTTATGGAAGTTGATCCTATGGTCCCTGGGTCTATGTTACTTCGGTGTCGTTTTCGCCGTTCCTCTGTGAGACAGCCCCAATGATTCCTTCCACCCTCGGGTTGTACTCGCTTTCTTGTTAACACTCGTTAGACGTCGGCAGGTCATCATACGCGAAAGGCTGCGCTTTCCGAGTGGCTTCAGCACAGCCGTCCTCATTGGCGTGCTACACGGACAGACACGTATCTCAAATTCAGGTGGGTCGGAAGACACCGTAGCTGGTGGGTTCGCGAGTCTAGTGCCGGACCCTGACGAGGCGACTGTCATGGACAACAGTCGCACCGCTACAGGCGCAGATGCCGAACATGGCCGCATCGCAGGGTCGGAACCTGATGTCCATCAGGACTGGGCCGGGAACATGAGGTTGCTGCTGATTTGCTTCGGAGTCTCGGGTCTCTATACGCTTTGCTCTTACTTCCTACCCAGCCTGCGCAACATTCCCGTCTTTGGGACCGAAGCCGCCAGCATCTGGCTGTGGACACTGAATCCGAGCCCTGCTTACATAGGGCAAGGAATCATTATGGGACCCGAGACCACCCTGCATATGCTTCTGGGTGCAGCAGTGGGGTGGGGTATTCTCTCACCTCTGGCCAAATACAATGGATGGGCACCTGGCTCGATTGATGACTGGGAGACTGGAAGTAAAGGCTGGATCGTATGGGTCTCGTTGGCTATTATGCTTGCTGATGCCATCGTGAGCCTTGGTCATATTGCCTTTCGGCCACTCTGCCATCGGTTGAGTATTTTGACTGGCAATACGTTTTCGCAACGAGGATTGCACATCTGGCGGAAGCTTGTCCGGTCCCAGGACCAATCTAGGCAAGGTTACTCGGCTTTGAGCACCGAAGAGGAGACAGAAGCAACCAGCACGTCGCGTCTTCTGCCCGACCAAGGACCAAACACGATTGCGCATCGCAGAGCTTCGGTTTTGCCTGACAACTATACGGAGGAAGACGATGCAGATGCACCACCTGAGCAACAGATTAGCAATCGTCTGGTCTCAGTGGGGCTTGTTCTATCTGTTCTTCTTTGCATCATGACGATCCATATTGTCTTTGGCGATCTTGTCCCGCTTTATGCGACCATAGTTGCTGTTCTCATGGCCCTTCTGCTCAGCATTATGGGCGTGAGAGCACTGGGTGAGACGGACTTAAATCCTGTGTCGGGAATCAGTAAATTGGCGCAGTTGTTCTTTGCCCTTATAATACCACAGTCGCATAAGTCTAGTGTATTGATCAACCTTGTGGCGGGTGCAGTGGTAAGTATGCCATCAAGATGAAGTAAAAGCAACGCTAACCATGATGCTCACGCAGTCCGAAGCAGTACGTCGAGTGTGGTTGAAACGCAACTCTAACATCTCTAAGTGTACATCTAACTCGATTTCCAGGGTGCTCTACAAGCCGGGGACCTCATGCAGGACTTAAAGACAGGCCATCTTCTCGGTGCCGCACCTGATGCTCAGTTTTGGGGGCAGGTTATTGGCGCAACGGCTGGTGCTGTCGTGAGCGCTCTTGTCTACCAATTATACGCGGCGTGAGTGTGTCTATATTCCTTGCCCCCCTTTCTACACCGTCTCGGCAGACATGGAAGGCTAATAATTGACTGGTACAGGGTCTATGCAATTCCTGGTGATCTGTTCCAGGTCCCGACGGGCTACGTCTGGATCTTCACCGCCAGACTCGTTACCGGGAAAGGTCTGCCACCGAATGCCAGGGAATGGGCATTTGCCTTTGCCATTATTTTTGCTATCACGACTATGATAAGGACAACGGCGACTGGCAAAGCATGGCGGTCTTTTATACCGGGCGGAATCGCAGTGGCTGTGGGTAAGTTTAACCAGGGGTTGATTGAAAAGAACGTGGAGGCGAAAATGGATTCTGACAGATGCTCAGGAATGTACAACGTTCCATCCTTCACGTTGGCACGGACGGTCGGCGGCTTGCTCAGCTGGTATTGGATCTCGCGGCGAGGGCAGTCCAGCACACCATTGATTGTGCTTGCGTCGGTGCGTATTAGTCGTGGGCAGTGTGGTGGTTTTGATTCTCGGCTGACGCTATGTGCTTATTGCAGGGCTTCATTCTAGGAGAGGGCTTCCTGAGCATTGTCAATCTTGTGCTGCAGAGCCTTAGTGTACCGCATTACTAGGTGGGTAGGTCTTCGGTGTGGTTCGGGTCAAGTGGAGGAGACGACAGTAAGGTAGAGGCGGATATGAGGCGGGGGGGGGGGGGGGGGGGGGGGGGGGTGGAAGAAGAGGCAAGGGCAGGTGCGTTAGGTTTAAATGGCACTCCCGTTCCAGGCTGAAACAGAAGGAAGCCTACATAAAGTTGGGAAGGCAATTTATTGGGATGTGTTGTTTATCGTGTACCTAACTAATAATTACTTGGGCAGGGTACCTAGTTGAAGTTGTTAGGGTCGCCCTGTCACGACTCACCTACCTTCGTATCTCATGTGCCTGGCTGGCTTGGAATTTTGCAAGCTTGCGCCCGAAGAACAACCGGCGTTAAACTGGACTGAACGGGATGGGACCGGAACGGGACAACCAAACGGCAGCCGATGGCTGGATAGGTAGGTCCAGTTTGACGGGACCAGCGCACAAAAAGTGACTCCAACTTCTACGCATGGTAGGCACGGTGGCACGTTGGCTGCAGCTTCCCTGTTACCGCATTGGCATCCGTAGGCAGGCCCATCCAAGCCTGCCCCAATGAGGCCCACACATTCGGCGTGGACGACGGAAAATATTCACCAGTCACTCTCAACTCAGTCAGTGTTCACTTTGCAACGATCATCGACCGACGACAAAATTTGACAACCAGGACTGAAGACGTATATTTAAAACACACCCAAGCAAACTACCCTGCTTGGCTTTCACCATGGCGAATAACAAGCTCGACAAGAAGGATCTTCCCGAGTCGGACATTTCATCGGATGAGTCTGACTGGGAAGATGCCGAGCCTGAGGAGGAAGAGACCGTGGACTTCATCTCTTTGCTGGACGACTCCGTTTTTCCCAGTCTCGATTCCATGTTGCAGCATTGCCGCGAAAAGCACAACTTCGATTTCCTTGAAGTCCGTCACCGGCTCGGCCTCGACTTCCTCGGCACCGTAAGGCTCGTCAACTTCGGTGAGTTTCTAGACAACTACGTTCACAGCGCTCACCCCGTGGACATCGGTGGCGTCCTCCTAAACTGACATCGCCACCGCAGTCCGCCAAAGCACTCACGATGGTGCTCGTCTGCCCGAAATTATTTCTGCCGAGCACATCTCTGATGATCGCTTCTTCAAGCCCGTCATCGAGGATGACGCTCTGATCATGGCACTAACTGAGCTAGACCTTGGCTCTAATTCTCAAAGTGTTCTTCAAGAGGAATTGCAGTCGAAGTCAAGCCGAGAAGCTCAACTTGAGGACGATCTGGAGAAAGTCAAGGCACAGTTCGCCAGCTACCGCTTGGCCGTCGAACAAACGTTGGATCAGCGTTGGGGAGAAGATGTTCCAAACAGGAGCCGTCGGAACCGTTCGGTCGACAAGGAGGCCCGCAAGGACGAGTCCCAGTACTACTGGGAATCATATGCTAGCAATGGTAAGTTCGTGGACATCGAAAGCCTCACAGAATTTCGTCCTGCGAGGTATGCTTTCAACCAGTTCATTAACACCAAGATAGATATTCATGAAACCATGCTCAAGGATACCATTCGGACAGATGCATATCGCGATTTTGTCTACGACAACAAGCATCTATTTGCGGGAAAGACTGTGCTCGATATTGGTTGCGGAACCGGTAAGCTGTGGACCTAGGTGGCTCTTTGCTCTCAAAATCTAATGCCCAACCAACAACAGGTATTTTAAGCATGTTTTGCGCCAAAGCTGGTGCAGCCAAGGTCTTTGCGGTTGATAAATCGGACATCATTGACAAGGCCCGAGAGAATGTGTTCCACAACGGACTCACTGATCAAATCACTTGCATACGGGGAAGGATCGAGGAAATCGACCTTCCGGTGGATCAGGTGGACATCATCATCAGTGAATGGATGGGATACTGTCTCCTTTATGAAGCCATGCTGCCTAGCGTTCTCTGGGCCAGAGACCGTTACCTCAAGCCTGACGGTCTGCTTGTCCCTAGCGTCTCGACCATCTGGGCTGCTCCCGTGTCGGACCCCGAGTATGTCACAGACTTCATCACCTTCTGGGACGACGTCTACGGCTTTGACATGAAGTCTATGAAGACTGGCATCTACGACGAGGCGCGCATCGAAGTCATGCCCGAAAGCTGTGTTTGCGGCTCTGCAACGCAGATCGCGTTCCAGGATTTGCACAGCATCAAAACCGAGGAGCTCGATTTTGAGGCCCCGTGGAAGTCCACCTTGTCGAGGGACATTCCTTCACTCGACGGGTTCTTGGTTTGGTTTGATATCTTCTTTACTACTTCTCGGAAGGACACTGTTCCGGCGAGCCTGCATGTCAAGCCTGGCGAGTCCAGTGGAACCCGCCCCGGCGAGATCGCGTTTACCACTGGCCCCTTTGGCCCCGCCACCCACTGGAAGCAGGGTTTCCTGATGAGCAAATCTCTGGAAGACAACATCGAAGTTAAAGCCGGGACTGATGTCTCGGGCCGCATCGTCTTCAAGGCACCCGAAAACAACCCACGCGCCCTAACCATCGGCAACACATGGACTGTGTCTGGCCAAGGAGAGAAAAAGCAACTGTGGAAGTTGCGGTAGAGGTGTTTCTCGGTTCCGGGGTAATTTCGATTTGGCAGGTTGTAGGACATTGAGACCAAGAGGTACCGTGGGCGGCGTTGGGTTTCACAAGAAGGATTTTGCTGGAATACTAAATGACGTCAAGGCGTATACCCAGCGGCGTTCACACGCCTACCAAAAAGTGGACGTTGGGTATGCGCGTATCTCGGTGTTGAATCACAGTGGAGTAGCAGTGGACTTATTCATGCCAACTAGACTAGGTAGACACGCACAGGCGAACAACACCGGTCTCACCTTCTGTGACGGACAACTATATAGATTCGAATATGATACCGAACATTGCCCCAAGACGGTGGAAATCTGCTCATGCCTTAGTAATGGCGGCGCTTTCGACGATACAGCGTGTAACTATGTCTTGGTGCCGTTCGCGTCTTCGCTTTTGGCGTCGTCCTCGTCATCTTCCTCTTCATCATCTTCATCTTCATCATCTTCATCACTATCCTCTTGCTCTTCTTCTCCGTCGGAGACAGCCTCGCCGAGTGCTTTGAGTTGAGCCTGATAAAATACGAAACAAGAATCATTAGCAAGTGGCCTAGTTCAGTAACCGGAGAACAAACCTTGTACTTGGCAACTTTGTCTTCCAAATCGCCAAACACCATGAGCAGGTCGTCAAGCTCGTTTTGTGTTGCCTGCTTGTCTTCCTCGGCCTTTCGAACAGCCGCCTCTCTCTGGAGCAGTCTCCATCAGCAAATGTGTCTAGACGCGCATTCCATGAATAGAACCAACCTGGATGGCCTTCTCCCGAGTCTCCCTGAGCTCACTCTCTAGCTGCTTTCCGCGGCTTTCGGCTTTTTTGATGAGGTCCTCTTGCTCTTGTAGTTTCCTAGTGGAATCATCGCGGAATGCCTGCATCTCTTGCGTTTTGGTCTTCTTGGCCTGACATAGGTAAGTCGTAGTCGGGACAGCGGACTAGCATTAAGAGTCTTACCTTCATAAGGTCAACCTCTAGCCGACTGATAGTGGCCTTGAGGTCAGCCATATCGGCCTCAGCTCGGTGCCGAACGCGTTCGGCATCATTTTCCGCCGTCTTCCTTGCATGTTCTAATTCTTTGCGATGCTCTTCACTTTGAGCAGCCACCTGAGCCTTAACTTCCTTCTGTATCCGATCTATCTCCTCTTTGTGTCTTTGATCAATCGCCTTGCGCTCTTCATCGAGAGTTGCGATCCGGCGGTCCGTCTTAACTTGGATCTCTGCCATCTGTTTCTTGTGCTCCCTTTCTAGAGCAGAGACACGGGCTTCTGCCTGGTTTTGAACATCCGCTAATTGCCTTTTGTGTTCCTTTTCCAGTGCTGCGACTTGAGATTCAATCTGCCGCCGGGCCTGGTCCATCTGCTTTTGGTGTTCTTCTTGCAAGGCCGTGATTTTGTCCTGCAGAGTCCTAGACTTGGGTATCAGTGCCTTCCTCTGCCATCGATTACGGGATAGAGCTTACCGAAGCTCTGCATCATGCTGCCGCTGTAATCCTTCATTCAGTTGCTTCATTCTTGCCAGCTCCAAAGCAGAGCTTTCTCGAGTTCGCCGATGGTCTGCCTGTTCTTGGCCAATCTGCCGGCTGACAGTTTCGATGCTTACCTGTGCTTCCTGCAATGCCTGGTCCTTCTCAGCCAACTGGCTTCGAAGGGAATCAACAAGTTCGCGCGAAACACCCTTCTGCACGCCATTAGAAACAACAGATATCTCCAACCCAGGATCTCGGTCTATGCCACGCAAGATACGGCTGTAATTGTCTTTGAAAAACTCGACAAAAGTAGCATCGAAATAGACATCAGGCAGCTTGCCGGACCCTGAATTGCTCAGCTTCTGCGGGATGACTTCGAAGTCTCTGACTAACGAATTGCTTCTCAGCTTGGACAGCTTGTCGATATACCGTTCGCGTCCCATTCGGGACACCAAGATGGAGTGAAAGTCTGTGCGCGGAATGGGAGAGTCTTTAGTCGAGAACTCGTACAGCACGCCGAGAAGCATGGCGCAGAGCCCTTGAACGATTTCGCCTGAAGGATACGGATGGTTGATTGCTTGAATGATGCTTTGGGTGTTGCTTCCTTCTCCAAGAAAGTCATTGACGGCGTCCAAGTCTTCAAAGAGCCAACCAAGCAACAACATTAGATATCCAACCACCACGCGACTGTCTCCCTCTCGATTCAGACCAGATATCAGGTGTGCGGCGACGATTTGAATGCTTGTGACGACTTCCTCGCCACTTTCTGCGTCGCCCTCTGTAACGGCCATAGCTAGGCTCTTAGCTTCCGGGTTGTCAAAGACAAGGTGGAACATAATGGTTGCAGCAAACCAGCTGCGGTAGGGGTTAGTGATATCGGCGTTTGGAGACGGCCGCAAAAGTACTGTGAGTACGTTGGCTGTCTCATCCGCGCCTGTTTTGTGACCTTCTATAGCCCTTCTGAGAAAATGCAGACGGATGTCTGCATGACTGTAGAAGTAAGCCTTGAGGCAGTCGGACGCCGCCAAGCGCAAGTCGAATGCCTCGGTATCTTCGACACCGAGTGCCAAATCCAGAAGACCGTCTATCACGTAAACCTGGAAGGCGCTGTTTGGTTGGCTAACTTCGACTGGGGTATGTGTATCGAGAGGTGAAGGAACTTGGAGCTGAGCGAAGCCTTCTTGTAGACTGGCGTTGCCTTTGATGATATCGGCGCAGGTTTCGAGAGCCTGCAGGCACAAGATATTTAACACGACGGCATCAATGACGTAGCTGACGGGAAACGACCAACCTCTGCTTTGATTGGAAGCTGGGCTACGCGGCTAAACGCCAGTTGGAGAGCATGATAAAGCAGGCCGTGCTGCCAGAAAGCAAGCTGATTCTGCGCTGTTCCCACAGCCCCAGGGACTAGGAATAGGCGCACCACAGCTAAAAGGGCATATATATTCCGATTGCGTTGGGTTTGTGCCCATGCGGCAATCTCGGCCTCCTCCCGCTGGGCCTTTCCCGCACCCTCCAGCAAAACGGCTAACCGGCGAATTCCACCAGACTCGCGGAACAGAGACTGGTTGGATGGGTTTCTCCTGAGCAGGTTGGCAACGAGAATCAGACAGTCCTCCACAACACGGTCACCTTCGGACAAGGAGCCTTCGGATATGATAATGTTGAATACGCGGTCAAATGCGTTCTCGAAGGCGACAAGTTTTTGGATGTCAGTCGATGAAGGGGTCAAATAGGTGAGAAGGGTGATAGCTTCGTTCCTGACGGCTTCGCGGGAGTCGTCCAATACAGCCACCAGACGAGATATGCCTAATGGAGCCGTGAAGACGCACTCCTCAGTCCGCTCTGTCCGGGCAGACAGGATAGCAGCTAGGAGTTGCAAGGAGTAGAGTCGGGAGTAAAAATCGCTTGAGTCTAGGAAGTCGAGTAGCAGGGTAACGTTCTCCTGACGCATGGTGAATTCGTCAGCGAGCCAAAGCGCAATTTCCTCCGAGGCCTCTGGGCTGTCTTCGTTGGGGCTGAAAAGCATTAGCAAGGTCTCGAGGACCACCTTGACGGTATCAACATCTTCGGCATCCTTGCTCAAGCTGCCTATGAGACTGCGCAGAGCTCCGGAGGCAACAGAAGCGGGGAAGTCTTTGGCAAAGCTGCGCAGGCCAAGTATAGCAGCGCGACGATCTTCGAGCAAGGTTGCGGAGCTGAGACGGCCACTCAAGACGGTGATGGTCTCGCCGACCGACTGCTTTGCCGGTGCAGTGGAGATGGAAAACATGCTGTCCCTTCAAACTCCAGCCATTGAAGGTTTGCAGCGAGCCCACTGACGACAGGGAAATTGTGCAGAAGATGGCAATAGCAATGGAAGTGGCAATGAGAAGCCAAGTTGGAGTAATCTCAAGTCATAAAAACATCCTCAGTTGGGAAGCTTGAAGCTGCCGTATCTGTCACCCGGATCAATTGAGTGACTAAAACGCAAGGTGTACTTTCGCTTCGAACCAGGGTTACCATCGTTTGTGCAGGTATCGAGGCTTCTTTGCATTTAGAGCGAATATTTCACAGTAGCGAGTACATGGCCTTCACTTGTGCCACCTTGAGGCACCTACCTTGTTGAAGTAGGTAGGTTCCTACTACGCTACTTAGGTACCTATCTACTTGAGTCTTAGGCCTCCTATCTTATCGCAGTAAGTTAGTGCACGGCCAATGCCCACCTAGCGCTAGTAGTGGATACTGCAGATGGCAATGCAGAACTTTGGAATCCCGATTTTTGGGACTTTCGCAGTTTGTCCGTCAGCATCCCTAGCTCGCCTCTGTTTATATCGACGAGCTCCAAACAGTGTCGAGCAGATCACATCCTTGTCTCCGCCTTGAGATCGCGAATTCTAGTTGCGCTCAGCTTGCTTGCTTTCGGGTTCTAACGCGCGTACGCGTTGAGGCGCCTCGCAGTCCGTCGCGTTGCCAACTTGACAGTCGCTTCATCTTCAGCGCTTGGAGGGAAGCGCATCGCCGAGTCCAAACACACCCATCACCGCAATCAGGACTTGTCGCATTGGTCGACAAGCTACCTTTTCACCCAAGCTTGTAAGAAGCCTGGCTGAACCGGCTTTCCCTTGGTCTAGACTTCTGATTCCTTGCCTCGCCATTGGGACACACAAGAAATCTCTTCAGCTCCATTCGCTCTTCAAGCACCGCCAATTTGTTTATCCCGCGCGCAAAGCGTCACTGCTTGACCCAAGACAAGATGGGTATCCCGGCCGCTTTCCGATGGCTTTCCAACAAGTATCCAAAGATCATTTCGCCGGTGATCGAGGAGCAGCCTGTGAAGATGGATGATGGATCTGAAATCCCGGTTGACACCACCGGCCCCAATCCAAACGGCGAGGAACTAGACAATCTCTATCTCGACATGAACGGTATCGTGCATCCTTGTTCTCACCCTGAGGATCGCCCAGCTCCCAAGGACGAAGAGGAGATGATGCTCGAGGTATTCAGGTACACAGACCGTGTTGTCAATATGGTTCGGCCGCGAAAGCTTCTAATGATTGCTGTTGGTATGTCCTGCCCCCCTTTTCCGCGTTGCATCCATTGCGAGTCTCTTGCAACAATATCACTGACCTCTACTGGCTAGACGGAGTGGCTCCTCGTGCCAAGATGAACCAACAGCGCTCGCGACGTTTCCGATCCGCTCAAGACGCTCAGCAGAAGGAGGAGGACAAAGAAGAGCTCATGAAGCTCCTAAAACAGCAAAATGGCGGCGTTATCCCAGAAGAGACACTTGAGAGTATGACCAAGAAGGCATTTGATTCCAACTCCATTACACCTGGGACCCCTTTCATGGACATACTCGCTGCGAGCCTCAGATATTGGTGCGCATACAAGCTCAACACGGACCCGGCCTGGGCTAGGCTCAAAATTATCATCTCAGATGCCACAGTACCCGGTGAGGGGGAGCACAAGATTATGTCGTTTGTTCGGTCTCAGCGTATCTCGCCAGACTATGACCCAAACACGCGCCATGTCATCTACGGTCTTGATGCCGATCTGATTATGCTGGGTCTCGCAACTCACGAGCCTCATTTCCGAGTCTTGCGAGAGGATGTCTTCTTTCAAGACAGCAAGCCGAGGGTATGCAGGATTTGCGGGCAGAAAGGTCACGAGGCTCGAAATTGCCGCGGCGAGGCCAAGGAGAAAGTTGGCGAGTTCGATGAACAAGAAAAGGCGCCAGCACTGAAACCCTTCATCTGGCTGCATGTCTCAATTTTACGCGAGTACCTGGCTATTGAGCTCAATGTTCCTGGCCTGCCTTTCCGTTTTGATCTGGAGAGAGCTCTTGACGACTGGGTTTTCATGTGTTGTTTCGTGGGCAACGATTTCTTGCCTCACTTGCCTGCACTGGAGATTCGCGAGAACGGTATCGACACTCTGACAGCGATCTGGAAAGACAACCTCCCTCATATGGGTGGCTACGTCACTAAAGACGGGCACGTTGATCTTGCTCGGGCGCAACTAATCCTCAACGGACTTGCAAAGCAAGAGGACGGCATCTTCAAAAGGAGGAAAGAACAAGAAGATCGCAGGGAGGCCAACGCCAAGCGTCGCAAGCTTCAAGAAGAGCGTAACCAACCCAGGAACGCTCGGCCAAAGCAGGTTGACAACGCTGCTGCAGGCTTACCCCTATTCCCTGCTGCAGGGGGTCCTAATGGGATCACTCACGACATGGTCGTTGGTCGATCATCGAACATGAATGCTAACTCCGCCAACAAGAGTGCAGCAAGCGCCATAAGGGATCAGATCAAGGGCATGATGTCCAAGGCCGAACCTATACCAGAAGGCGATGCAAGTCAAGCTGCAAAGGTCGATGCCCCAAGCGCTTCGACGGACGCGAAGTCGATTCTTGGCAAGCGCAAGGCTGATGGTGAACCTGATCAGCTTTCGACTCCTACCCCTGCGGCGGGAACAAGCACACCATCTGCGGCCGAAGAGGCGGCAATGGACCATGTGAGGATGTGGGAGGAGGGCTACGCGGACAGATACTATGAACAGAAGTTCCATGTTGACCGCAAGGACATTGAGTTCCGACATCAGGTTGCCAGAGCGTATGTTGAAGGTCTGTCTTGGGTCCTGCTCTACTACTTTCAAGGCTGCCCATCATGGGAATGGTACTACCCTTACCACTACGCCCCCTTCGCGGCAGACTTTGTGGAACTGGACAAGATGGAAATCGCGTTCGAGAAAGGGCGAATTTCCAGGCCCTTTGAGCAGTTGATGAGTGTGCTGCCTGCGGCATCTCGCCACGCTCTACCTGAGGTCTTCCACGATCTCATGTTGAACGAGGACAGCGAGGTCATTGACTTTTACCCTACCGACTTCGAGATTGACTTGAATGGCAAAAAGATGGCTTGGCAGGGAGTGGCATTGTTGCCATTTATTGAGATGCCCAGGTTACTTGCTGCTGTAGAGAAGAAGTACCCTCTTCTTAGTGCCGCAGACCGGGCCAGGAATGGAGTGGGCAGGGATGTCTTGCTGCTTTCGGATGCTCATCACGATCTGTACGATGAGATCACCACCAACTTTTACTCCAAGAAGCAAGGAGAACCAACATTGAAGCTTAACCCGCGTACGAGCGACGGGTTGTCTGGCAAGATTGAGAAGATTCCGGACTACCTACCCCACGGCGAACTAGTATATCCTCTGGAGCGCGGCGGCATGCCCAATCTTGATTACGACAGGTCCCTGAGGTACGTTGGTCACAACGAAACTAGCCACATATGGCTTCCGTATCCTGCACAGCAAACTAATACATTTTACAGCGTCTGGTATTCCTTCCCGGCGAGCTCGCACCCTCACAAGTCTATGTTGCTGCGTGGCGTCAAGTTGCCTACAGCGGCTCTCGACCGCAATGACATCGAGACGCTCAAGAGCAAATCATCTCGGTCAGGACGGAGCTACGGTGGTGCGCCACTGGGGCATAATGGCCACAACCGCGGAGGGCGCAGAGATCAGTTCAGTTACGCCCCAAGCGGCGGAAACGGACGGCATTCGGGCAATGGCAACTACATGCAACACGGCTATGGCCCCCCTGGACCACCGCAGGGCCAGTCATGGCAGCCTCCACCACCAGGCCACCCGGGCTTCGGGATGGGACTACCGCCCCCGCCCCCGCCAGCTTTCCACAACTCAAATGGATACTCTCGCGGCGGAGGATATGGACAGTATCAAAGCTACGGACCTCCGCCCATCCAAGGCCAATATGCGAATCACAATGACGGAGGTCGTCGTGGTGGGCGCGGCGGGTATCAAGGTGGTGGGCACAGAGGTGGTCGCGGCGGCGGCGGCTTGGGTGGGGGTTATGGCGGCGGACGCAACCATAGGTAGTTGAGATCATATGTAATTGTAGCTATGCTGGGGTGTGTCGACGGAAGCGTTTGTATGAAAGTAGAAGAAAACGACGCAAAGGGATGAGGAGCTGCTACTGCTGAAGTCATGCTATGTGTTAGATAGTATGAGCTCTAGTAAATATGCAGAGTTGCATAGGAGTTAGATTTCAATGTGATGATTTGTTTGGATGTGAGATTATATCTAGAATGAATATCAAGGTCGACGATAGATGTGTGGCAGGTTGTCGCTATGGTGCTACCTCGGCGGAGGGCGACTTGGTCCGCAATTGACTCTGCGGTTGGAAGGCACCGGCGCCGGTAATTGGGTAGTGCTAAAGATAGGGTACTTGGCAAAAAACTGAAGACAAATGCCTATTTTGAGGTTTGGGAGAGAAGGGATCTAAATCAGGCAGCTGATGGGACTGTTCACTCTAAGTTGGTGATGCCTTTGTGGGGGATCCACTGCCAATTTTCGTAAGAAGTTCCTGAGCATGCCCAAAGAGGATTAGACCGTGTACCTCTGGCGATAGCCATGTAGCTGGTGTGTTGCTCTCAGCCTCATTGTTGGCCAGATGTGACGTTCCTCTCCCCTACAGGAGTAGGCCGAGTTTCTGTTATTACCCCTCCACGATCTGAAATACTACCTCATAGTGCGCAGGCACACAACTGCTATCAACACCTGTCTCACACCACGGGCTGAAGGGCGGTCGTGCCGTTCCCTATGCAGCACGTTGCGCGATTCAAATCACATTGTTGCAGTGTATCCGTACTCACCTTGCGGCGCAATCCACTTTAGCCAATGCCCCCGCACTCGCTGGTTGTCTCCCTACTCCATAAGCACCTTAAGGTACCTAGCTGGGTTAAGCACATACAGTGTACCTGAGGTAAGGCAGATCCGCTG